TCGGTGCAGGGACGCCGTAGCCGCCTCACCGAGATCCCAGGAGCGGGACTGAAGACTCTGGTCGCGATGGAGCTCTTTCCACTCACAGTAGGACCTCGTTGAAACAGTCTTGAAGGGGCAGGCCGGGACGGTCCGTCATATCCGGCGCCCATTTCACCCGGAGATGGGTTCTGAATCGGAATGGAACATGAAAATCATCAGAAACCCCGCTGCAGCCTCCTTTACGACGCGTGCAGGGTCGGGAAACCTCGCGAGTCGTCCGATAGACAATCGCCTTCGATTTCCCTCCTCACAACAAGAAGGTGCGATGACCGAATGACCGATTCGATCGGCACGGGAGGAAATAGGACCGGGGTCTGGAAATCAGTGTGTTATAACCGAAAGTCCGTCATTGGGTCCGTGATATCCGAGTTCGACATGACGAGGTTCTTCTGGATTCAGCGAATCCGAGATCGCCGTAGATTCTATGCAAACCTCAGTCCATACCATCGAACCGCGGATCCACACGTGGATCCACCAATGACTTCGCTGAGGGTTTCGTCTTGGTTGTGGGGACAATGTTCCGAAAGTCGACGAGGAGAAGCATGACGTCATTTGCCGTCAAATTATATTCGAGTATAGATATCGAGTCCTCGGATACGATGAGGACGAGGAGACCATTTCCTCCTATGCAGGCAGCGAGCTTTCGTTGCTCCGACATTCCGATTCGTGGGGCCAGATGGTCGATAGTAAAATATTAGTCAGGGCGTTTTCTTCGCCGTCATGCGAGATAGTGAGTGAATCTCGCCGCGTAGTGTACATGGTGGAGCTGACCCTCTGAAGGCCGATGTACGTCCTCGATAAGTTCGTAGCACGCTGACGAAGGCTATTGCAGTCTTGCTCGCGCAGACGGCCGGCGCCACACCCATCGAGGCGCCTTTCAGTCTGCGGCAGCGGCAGCCGCCCACGGTCTCCTTCTCCCTTTTATAATTGTAGGGGGTTGAGGTGAACGAGGGACAAGCGAGCGACGCTTCGCCCCGCGAGGCCACGATCAGTCCAGCCGCTCGTTTTCTCGTAGGCTCTCTTGATGATGAAAGCCAACGGTACTCTACTGTAATTAAGGGCAGACAAACCAAAGGCTTTGGACTTCGAGTTTCGCCACAGCCCAGCGGCAGGAGGAACGTTGCTGTTCTCCGGAGAATTTCCTCCTGACCACCGGGCACCAGTACAGTGAGGACGGCGGACTGGAGGTATCGGAACGAATGGATCAGGCTGTGGACTCCGCGGTTCTCGGGAGATACGATCCATGTCCCTAGACGACATGCGGTGAACATTAATACGGGATAGGGGGCAAGCAATTTGGGCAAATTAACTTATCTTGTTCCTCCGCTTATATTGCAATATTAGTATCGGCCCCCGGATGCTGATCAACCGGATTGCCCTCGACCTCTTTTGCATAAATAAATATATTTTCTCGGGGTCGTCTGGCCTCGTATCGCCCAGCTGGGGCCGAAAGGAAAATATCGCCGCATAAAATCAGAGCCCTGCGAGAGCTCACTTCACTCAATCGCAGCTTCATAAGAACGATGGTTCCCTGTTCTTAATCTCCACGGCAGTCTAACATAGGTCACGTGCGGTGGATCGTCATCCCCCTGAGCTTTCAATCAGAAAAGGGATCAAAGACACGAGAAGAATGTACATAAATGTACAGAATCGAGTTTATTCAACTTTGCGTCTTTCATCGGAGGATTTCTCATCCAGAAACAAGTCGTTCTTCGCCCACATCGAGTATCCTTGACTGGACGAGTGCGAACGTTATCCCTTCGTGGCTTCATTTCGTGTCTGCAATCAATTCAACGACATGCAAACGAATTCTCACTCTTCCGCTGATCATTGGAGATCTGGCTCTGCTCGACGTCGTCTAGAACGTCTCGTCCGATCCGGAGTAACGGTCGGGGGCACGGAACGGGTCTAAATTTCGATTTTCCCTCGCGGGCATCCTGCTCACTCCGAATGAATATTTCCTAATCGTCGCCTAGTCTGCACAACTAGCGTAGAAATCGAAGTTATCGGCATCGACGCAACGTTGAAAAGCGTCACGATTCGAGAATTCGAAAGATGTATCGGATCCCTCGGCTTAATTCGGCTGGCTGGCTGATTGACTGGCTTCAGAGCAAGGTCTCCCTCAGAGCATCTCCACGAACCTCGTAATCAGCCAATTAGGCGGAGTAGCTGTCACGGTCATCAATGCGAAGTTTCGGAACGGGCCGAGTACAGCTCCCCTGCAACTCATAGCACCGCTAGGGTCACGTCCTTTACGTTTCTGATAGTTACTTTCAGTCCTCGCTGTTTAGGGACAGATCTGATCTATTCAGCTGCGCTCCCGGCCGCAATCTCGGAGTGTTTCGCACCGGCCATACTGATTGATTAGACGATTACAGCAAAGAATGAAATGCTATAGAATATTGAATAGGCGGCTCTGGATTTTTTCCTGGTCGCGCCGAGGAAATATGCGGAGAGAGGGCGGCTGTTGAAAAAGAACCGATCTTGCGGAGAGATCTTTGTGATCTAGATCTGAGCGACGACGCCCGAGGGCCCTCCTAGAGGGCTGAGTGTGGCATGTAGAATCGTTTCTATCGGATGTGTTTGCACTGATTAGCGAGCGGGTGAGAGCTTGTGTGTTTTGTGACGGTCACTATTCGTGGGCAGCGAGTCGCTCTCTAGGGCGAAGTTAAAAATAAAAGTCGCAAGCATTATGCCGAGCTGCCATCGACGCTAGTTTTAGGAGTCGTTAACACGTTCGCGACCATAGCCCACAACGGGCGCTCAAGAAAAGAAACTGCCAATATTTTCTCGGCTTGAGTAGCAACCCGGTCAACGGGATGGAAATACTGAGAGCGATCGTCTCTCGCCATTCCGGTAGAATATAATCTATTGAATCAAATGGGGAACGGATGACAGCGCGCGGCGTCCTGGAATCTATGTATGTCTCCCTCGAATGTCTCGGCCAGCTTGCCCGCCTGTACACACACCGGCAGATTAGAAAATCTGCCGGCGTTCCTTCAGGGTGGCCCTCGTTCAGTGACTCACGAGCGGTGCGATTCGACCAAGCAACCAGCACGCCAGCCAGTAAGGCAGGCATCCAGGCACTGCCATGGCAACGGATACAAACGGAGATGCGGTGGATCAATCCGTCGACGAAGAGAAAAAGCGAAGGGCCCGACTCGTTCAATGGACCCAAGCAAGCCATGGTGGCTGAAGATCGACGGAAACTTCTGCTCTGAGAAATCGCTCATGAATTTCGCGAACCGAACGGAAAACGGAACGCCGTATCTCGACTCTGTGCATGAAAAGCAACAGTTGGCCTGGGCAGAAACGTCAACGGCGTTGTCATCGGTGCGGCCACTTGCTTACCACCGATGAGACGCTGAATAAAAAATAACCCATAAATTTTGTGTAAAGACATAGAGTTACCCATCGTCCCCTGTGAGAGGTTCGGGCTACCGCCGAGAGTACTGCCGCCGACGGCAACGCGGGATCTCACGATTAAGAGAGCGTACTCCGCTCTCGACGGAGAGAGACAGAGCCGACGTCACGCTCGCGGGAAGAACACCGTCAACTCCACGCGCTTTCTCCAACCATACTCTGTCCGCGCACTCTCAACACTACGTTTCCGACTCTTCGGATTGACCCGAGTCAAATACCTAGAATTACCTTTCTAAGCCGTGTGTCACTCCGACGGGCCGCTTCTGCCGCTGGCCCCCAGAACAGATGACAGCGTTAAGCGCTTGACGCCGAACACTTCTGACTTAACTTCTGTCCCTATGAACGTTGAGCACAACTTGAGCTACGGGATGAATATATTCTGTTTCACTGTCACCCCGTCATGCTGATCGAACAGAAACGTTACGAGGTCACTTTCCGGCCGGTAGAGCTCACTCACGAAAATTGACGAACTCTTACGAAGTTTCGAAGACAACAACACTACCAGCGCTGTTCTGCTGCTACTGCTGCTGCTCCTCCTACTACCGATACTCACCCTGCAGACGCGGGAATTATTTCGAAGAACTCACGAAACCGCCCAGAATCCTATCAGCGGGAGGTCTTTAGGAATCCGCGGCTCACGGAGCTCGCCCACCTGGCCGAGGTCTTTTTGACACGTGGAACCGCTTCATACATATTCTCTCCGCGGAGATCTCAATTGCGACGGGGGAATCGGTCGAGGCGAGCGCGATCTTGGCCGATTTCCCCGGAGGTGAGTGACTTGTTGACGGAGCCAGACCGCCAAGTCAACAGCTGGTGAAACGGGGCTCGATAGAAGGTTCGGTGGGGTTTTCCGATCGTCCTGTTCGTGAAATTCCTCCTGCTCGATACAGATGGAACGAAGACCGGAAGCTCCGCACTCAAGAGTGCGGCGGCTGTTCTCTCTGAGGTTCTTGATCGAGATACGGTCAAGACCATTCTAGCAACTACCTCAAGAGTCGACGAGTTCGGAATTCCTGCATGCGCGGAGTCGACTCATTGACTCATTGATCAGAATCGGGATTCGGGATCACACAGGTGAGCCGAAAAACTTTGCCCTCGCCGAAAATCCCGAGGGGAACTCGTCTGACCCCGATTGGGAATGGCACCAGGGAAGGAGCGACGCAACCAGAATCTTCCCCCGAACACCAGATCGCGGTTCATCTCGGGCTGTATAGCGCTGTAGCGCATAGAACTCCATCCGCTCAGAACATTTCCCATGCAGATGGATCGCTGCTGAACAGAACCAGAACTACGATCCAGTAGTCGTCATAAGCAGCAGCGCAGGTTCCGTTCTTCTGCGGCCAGCGCGCGGTTGCTGAAGGTGTCGGAGGCTCGTCCATTGACCATAGCAAAGATAAGCTTCTATGTTCTATGGCATACCCAGGCGCAAGCGCCCCTTTGGTCAGCCCTCAGCCGCCGCCACTGTCGGCCGACCAGCAGGGATCATCGTCGTTCATTCCATCCTAGCAGCCGTTCTTGTGTTGAGAAGAGGAAGAAGAGAGTGTGTAGTAACTGCCGCAGTGTGTAGCTGTCATAGAGAGTCAGCAGTCAACAGTTGCAAGGGGAACACTTTCACACTTTCGACCTGTAGACCGTGAATCTCATAGTTTTTTCGGCTCGGTTGTGAGGTAGTTTCGGTAGACGGAGGAGCAACCATGGCAGGCAGTTCAAATCCTATAATGAACGCGGTAAACAAACTGCTCGATTGGATCAAGTCCCTGTTCTGGAAAGAAGAAATGGAACTAACACTGGTCGGACTCCAGTATTCGGGGAAAACAACGTTCGTGAATGTCATTTCGGTGAGCGAACAAATTCGATTCTCGTGTGGTCCTAGATATCAATCGAAGCGCCCAAGGTGTGGAGTGATCCCGGGGAAGTGAGCTCTGTAGGTGTTCAGTCGAATTGAAAGAATGTCCCACGGGCTCTCAGCTTTTTTGAGCCGAAGGGACGTTGGAGGCCGAGCGTCGTGGAGTAATAAATGGAAGCGTACGTCCGTTCTCCTTTATTTCGGACGGCGCAGTGAGGAAACAGCTGGCAGATCTGTCGCGGGAGGATCCAAGGAAACTCACCGAATCGAGGATTGCGGATGCACTCATCGAGCATCTTGATGAAATAATCCGCATCTCGATATATCTTACCGAGTCTTGAGCCGCTACCTAGGGGATAGTGAGCTAGTGGAAGCCCTCGCGGCTCATTATCATCGGAAGGAAAGTAACCGAATCTCAATCCTAGTGATGCGAGTTCCCGAGACTCTTCTTGGACGGAGTGGAACTCCATCTGAGCGCTCTCGGAATTCGCCATATTAGAAGAAACCATGAGACCTTGATTCGTACGTCATACCGGATTAAGCTTTGAGTCGGTCTCGAACGGAATTTCTCATCAGTCGAAGCTTCCGCATGGAATGAGTGGTGACTAACGCCGTTCCAGACTCGACAGATCTATGCCGAGCGGCGTATTATACGTAATCGTGTGTTCCTGATAGTCTGCTGGCCGATGCAGGTACCCTCTGACTTCTCAGTCTGACTGAGTGAGAACATCCCCCTCGACGGCACTCACAGAGAAATCACAGACTCTTCCATCAAGTGGCTAAGTTTGACTTTGTGAAATCATGGCTCATGGCCGATATTAGGTGTATCTCCGTATCGACATTGGAAAGCTATAGGCAGCTCAATGAAAAAGCGGAGGGGAAACGGTCAGAGGGAATTCGGGGCGGTGCCGTTCGCACGAGCATAGAGCTTTCGAGGCATCAATTCACGTGATCCCCGAATCGTGGAGTACTATCATGGAAAATGCTGGGAATATATCTCGGTGTCGTATAGTGTGACGCGAAGCCGATAAATCCGTGATGGAGTCACTGATCCAATAAATTCTAAATTCCTGGGGAATTACCCCCAGGAGAGTCGAGCCAGTCTGGCTGAAGGATCTTCCGCTAATTCCTCATCCCAGATAATATACCTGTGAATGGATTCTGTACGATTGTCAAATTCGAAATTGTCCGTGTTGTTTTTACCCTGAACGTCAGAGCCGAAGTCAACAGAGACAGGGCTTGGCCGTGGCGGCCCGGAGCGTCTTTGTCTCCAGCACAACATATGAGTTCATTCGAGGAGTTCACGTGATATTCTTCTCCGCAGTCTGAAAAGTTCAGCGAAGACATGATACCGACGGTGGGCTTCAACATGCGGAAGATCACGAAAGGAAATGTCACAATCAAAGTAAGAGTCAGTGATTCGATGCTCTACCGATATGAAGCACTCACCTCATTCGGAAAACTTCGTTACGAGTGGGTCAGCCCCGATAGGTCGAGCTTCATCGTCATCAGTCTCAATCGAGTACCTCCTTTCCAGATGTGGGATATCGGTGGACAACCGCGTTTCCGCAGCATGTGGGAACGGTATTGCCGAGGAGTGAATGCGATAGTGTGAGTATACTTGAATAATTTAGCCCGAATTTCCATGGTATTGATCGCGATCCCGAGGACGGATCAAGCTTCCAGGAACGGGTGTACGGAAAATACCCCAACTCGAGAACTTATTCCCAACCCTGATAGACTCTCATCCGAGTGCTTTCGGTCAGCTGGTCTGACTCTGGGAGCTGCGACGTCGAGCGATCCGGAGTTCTTTGTCCGGGATCGAATCCGCAGCGGCAACTCTGCCTCTCCGGGCTCGAGCTCACTTCGCTGCGAAGCCGTCGGTGGGACTTGTGCTCTAGAGCAGCTCCCACCGCCAGCGATGAAGTTCACGGCTCGCTTCGGGCTTTCCTTGCGGCACCCCTGATCCCCGACAACGTGCATCCGAAAGGCTAAAATTAGATTCTCCTCGGATCCTGCTCCTCTAATCTACGCGGCGTTCGAACCGCGCGCTCAGGGACAGCGGTTCCCTGCGGAGCAATCTGGCCCAGATCTAATCCCCTGGAATAGCTCAACCTGATTAGGACCAAGACACAAATAATATAATCGAAGGCCTCTGCGAGGGAGGAATGAGAATCCGGTCCCGAGATGGGCGGTTCGGAGGAACGGGTCCTCGAAGCCAGAGGAATTTTCCATTCAGCTTTCCCCCTGGATTTCAAGCTCCTGGTACAATGACGGGGTTTCTTCCGGGTTTCAGTTACATGGTTGACGCGGCGGATAAAGAAAAAATTGAGCCCGCACGGAATGAGCTGCACACTTTGTTGGACAAGCCCCAGCTAGCCGGTATCCCCGTCTTGGTGCTTGGAAACAAGAGGGATCTGCCAGAAGCTCTCGATGAGAAAGCGATAATCGATCAGATGTGAGTGCACAGTATGATAGACCCGAAGGAAAACTTAGGAGGTAGATTCTCCCGCTCCCGGCTAATCATTGCTCCGTGGCGTTCCAGGAACCTCGGCGCGATCCAAGATCGCGAAATATGTTGTTTCTCGATTTCGTGTAAAGAGAAAGAAAATATCGGTGAGTTTGCTCTCTGCACCGTCGGTCAGGTTGGGGAACTGGTGAATTCTTTGAGTTCAATGATCCGGAGGTACTCAAAAGGGACTTCCTTCATCGTTACAGACATCACCCTGCAGTGGTTAATTGGACACGCAAAGAGCCACTAGCAGCGAAGTGCCGATTCGCAGGCAGTGCCAGAGCGCTACCTGTCTCTGTTAGTGTAGAAAAAGAAGAACTCAAAATCTCTCGGTGGAGCCTCACGCGATTCCTCGTGGCTGGGTATCCCTACTTGGATCTACAATGGCCAGCCTTGAGGCAGCGAACAGACAGCTCACTTCTGTTCCACTTACCGGAAGTTTTAACCGGAACAGCTCTTAAAAAACATCGAGAGGTAGTCTTAATGAGTGAACGGAGGTCGCAGAGGAATATTATGATTGAGAAATTGAGAAGAACACGCGATTAGATTGTACTTCAACTTCAATCGGATCACGGGAACCCCCTCGATTCCTCGATGAAAGTCTCGCTCCTCTGTCCTAGAAGCATCTCAGCCCCTGTGTTTATCTTCTCTCCGGAATACTTGAAATCATAAGCGATTGCCTCCATGTCCATTCTGACAAGGGGAGAGTATTGCCCGCTCCCAGCATCTGCTAGAGCTTCCCTCCGGACGTGTCCATTCACATCTTTCAGTGACGAGTTACGACAGGGGATCGGTCAAATCAGAATTGACGGAAAGCTGCGTTTCTTGGAGATGTGGGGGAGGGGCGAGGCTTTCGCCGAGTTGCCTCAGCAGAATATGGAGCTTGAGTAATAAAGAGGGAGGAACGGGGAGTACAGTTGGATGGTTCATGCGATCAGCTCCGGATTGAGCTCTGGGTGAATACGTCGTTGACTGATTTTTGTAAAATACCGCTGGACATACCTTCGTCAGGAACACATCCTTGCGGGAACGGGAGACTCCATTCGAGCCGGAAACATTACACACGTGAATCTAAACACACATGCAATATCATCCATCCACAGACAATAAAGGAAGCTAGTTGACCTGTATCGAATGGAATACACGGAATGAGTTGAGGGGCTCAGAGATTTTTTAAATTGTTTCTCTTTGTCTCCCCCCCGTATTATCGATTGACCGATTGAAAGGGGATGACTCGCCGCCTTATTTCCCTGTAAATAGATATGATTACTATAGTGTCATTGTCGTTCAAGATTACACGAATAAACCTTGCGGAAAGCGAATAATCTCGATTTCTCTCGCTGCTCCCCGCTCCAGCACAAAGGGACATCGTCTCAATGGCCTTGCAGCGTTACCTGATGTACAGCATTCGCCCCTCCCTCGGATATAAGACTGAGACAATCGCGTGCGTATATTGATGAGCGGCACTATCGCAGACAGATACTTGGAGTCGAAAGCAGAGAGGGTATTGAGGTATAGCTCGTCGGACTGGCTTTTTTAAACGTTTTGTCACGGGGGCCTTGCAATCGATCGCAGTTCATTAGTAAATCATTTTCGAGGGGCAACGCCCCCCGAAAATTCGCGCTCGCGATACTGAAGCATGAGCTCCGAGGGGGCGCGTCGTCATTTAGGTCGTCTGGCGCCCTCCAAAACTCGAATCGGCCTATCCGGGGTTTAAAGCTCTGCAGCTTCATAAGGCGAATTCTGTGCATCTGGGAGTCAATGCCAACAAAAGATGAAGTCGTCGATTCTCGCGAGAGAAGAATCATATGAAGCGCGTGCTATGCCGGAGCTAACTCCGACGAGTGACTCTATGGGTAGATGAGTTTTTCCATAAGCTAGCTTAGGCTAACCTAGACGCATCGTGGTCGATAACCTGAATCGGGCCCCTCTCCGATTCCGTCTTCGCTCTCGAACGGATCTCCTGAGTATACAGGAGTTCAGAGCCAAGAGTCGCGAGACGAAACCTCATCTCGAATCCGAGCGCATAATATAATGCCCCCACGCAGTGTATGAGACAGAGGATTCTCGGAGATCTAGCGACACAATGGAAATCTTTCTAGCGGGACTCGATTGGCGGAGTCCCTCGAAACGCTTGAGAGAGCTCGCAAACAATTGTCAAACTCCTTCCGGAGCGCATGGACGAATGGGCGTTTATCGAATCGGCCAAGTTTCAGCGTCGAGCGAAGGCTCCATTCAGAGGTTTCGCTCGAATGATTCCAGTATTGCCGGTAGAGTTTTCCCCGCAGGACCTTCGAAGACGAATCTGGAATAAGTTACGAGCTTCATTTCCTCCGGCATATTCATTATCGATGGCGATGATGACCCTAATGACGACGACCTCATACGTGCCCCCAAGAACTCGGGGGCAATCATTGACCTACTATTCATATTGATCAAGACCACTTACTGGAAACTCCCGGTCTCAGGAGTGGACTCCAAGTTGAATTCAGCGACCGGAACTCCTCTCCGAGCGAGTTCGGGAGCGAACATGGCCGCTGGATAGACAACGCTCGACGTTCCGATCTGGAATTCGGCGATTCGATGATTCAGAAAGGGAATTCCGATCCTGGAGCACGCTTTCGTATGAATTTCGCAGCAATCCACCGCATCTGAACTCACCACCATACAACAATCGCATCTGTCGAGAGCCTGTCCAACTTTCTTGAGAACGTCATCCTCGAGGCTTTCGCCGAACCAAACGATGTGCGGCCTCAGAAGTCCCCCGCATTCACAGTGCGGGAGCTCTTCCAAAGTGGTCGTCTGTCCGGCCAATCCCTCGCAGATCGGACTATCCTGATTTTCGGTCACTTTATGGCAGACTGTGCAGCGTACCTAGGAAAAAATGGTATCTCTCATTCTCCAGATTATCTCCTCTGCCGGGAGTTCGACCACGCTTTCGGGAGCTCCCGGAAGAACTAATCCCTGTAGTTGAGAATATGCACAGGGAAGCAATGAATAATAGAGTTCCGGGCATTCCCCTATCGACGAGCGCCCGCCAGGAATGATGACGGTGATCAGTTCAGGAAAGGGTTGAACAGGCACAGAGGGCCACAGTGGCTGCCGCTCTCTCACTCGGCTGCGGTATAGCTAAAGGAAAAGTGGCGCCTTCTTGAGCTGCGCTGCGATCGATCATCGACTCTCCAATCGTTGTGAGAGTACCATTAGGCTCAGAGCAGCGATCGGACTTGCTCCGCTGAACTGTAAGTTAATAATTAAACCAGAGATTTATTAACCAATGTGACGTCATGTTGGCTCAAGTCACCGGTAAACAAACACACGACAGGTAGTGCAGGCCGTCCACCATCCACCACTACCGCTGCCGCGAGCGACTGTCTCCTTTATCATCGCCGCGTTCGAGAGGGGAGACATTTGATGGTTGCTCGCTTGTTCGAGTGCGTGCATTGACATCGCTTGCGCAGATCTCGGATTGTGTTTATTTTGATTTCAGATCCGAAGTTGTGAAGTCTGCTTGATGCACGTGTGTCTCGTCAGTCTCAAAGTAGTCAGTCGGAATCTACTGTGCGGTTCGACAAGATACGTTCACCTGAGCGCCTTACGAGCAACATCCTCGAATATGCCCCCGGTCGAACCAGTTAAAACTAAGGACGGCTACGATTATGACTTCGTCGTCATCGGCGGCGGTTCAGGAGGTCTCGCGTCGGCGAAAGAAGCGGCGTCATTGGGTTTGAAAACGGCCGTGCTGAACTACGTCGCCCCGTCTCCCTTCGGAACCACCTGGGGACTCGGTGGCACCTGCGTGAACGTTGGCTGTATACCCAAGAAGCTTTATCACCAGGCCGCCATTCTCGGCGAGGAACTGTCTGATGCAAGGAAATACGGATGGGAATTTTCGGAAACGGTGACGCACAACTGGTCAACACTCCGCCAGGGCGTAACAAATTACATCAAGAGTTTAAACTGGATTCACCGTGTCTCGTTGCGAAACGCCAAAATCGATTACTTCAACATGGAGGGCTCTTTCGAGGACAGTCATACGGTCAAATTGACAAACGCTTCCTCTGGAGAAGTGAAAACAATCACTTCTAAATGGTTCCTAATCTCGGTGGGTGGACGACCCACGATCCCGGACGATGTTCCCGGAGCGAGGGAGCACGCCATCACGTCCGACGACATCTTCCATTTGAAAAACGCTCCCGGGAAGACCTTCGTCGTCGGAGGGAGCTACGTAGCACTGGAGTGCGCCGGCTTCCTCACAGGACTCGGGTACGACACGACCGTGTGCCTCCGCTCTATTCCCCTGAGAGGATTCGATCAACAGATGGCGAATATGGTCGCGGACTACATGGAGAAGCACGGCACGAAATTCCAGAAGGGTTGCGTGCCTTCTTCGGTGGAAAAACAAGAAGACGGTAAGCTGTTGGTCACTTGGAGAAATACGCAGACTGGCGAGACAAACAGCGACACTTTCGATTCCGTTCTCTTCGCCATCGGACGTCACGCATTGACGAAAAATCTCAATCTCGACGCTGTCGGGGTTAAGACCGATGCGAAGGGAAAAGTCATAACGGACGACGAGGAGCGCACGTCGGCCTCGCACATCTTCGCTTTGGGAGATGTCCTCGTCGACAAGCCCGAGCTCACTCCCGTCGCTGCACGTACGGGACGACTCATCGCGCGACGTCTAGCCGGGACATCGACCGAGAAGATGAACTACGATCTCGTAGCCACTACAGTGTTCACCCCCTTGGAATATGCTTCGTGCGGTCTCCCCGAAGAAGAGGCTATCAAGCGTCACGGCGAAGCCAACATCGAAGTTTGGCATTCGTTCTACAAGCCGCACACGTTCCCGATCGCCGAGAAGAGTAACGAGCACTGCTACATCAAATACATCGAGGACTTGAGCAACGGGAACAAAATCATCGGAATGCACCTGGTCGGGCCGATGGCCGGGGAGATCATGCAAGGCTTTGCGGCGGCCATGAAATGCGGAATGAATCGGAAACAGCTCGAAGAAACTGTCGGAATCCATCCTACAATCGCTGAGGAGGTCGTGAAAATCGATGTTACGAAACGATCTGGCGTGGATCCTACATGCGCTAAATGCTGTGGTTAGACGTTAGATGCTATTTTCCGTTCCTAAAGCTTCAACTCGACTGTTAAACCAACATGTTCGCCTGGTTTCTATAGGTTTCTTATGAGCACGTGCGATTTAATAAAGTTTCATCGACGCCACTAATGATACCTAAATCAGAATATTTCCTTATTGGGTCTGGAGCAGGAAACTGAGAGGGGCATTGGCTCTGAAACGTTTGAAACGATGGCGGAAAAATTACCTTGTACAGCGATCCGTGGAGCTCCAATACGTTCTGCGATCCGGCACGCTGGTGCAGGCCGTCGACGTTCTGAGTGATGAGGTGGAACTGCTTACCGGAGTGCTTGCATTTCTCTTCGAAGTCGGCCAACGCATGATGAGCGGGATTTGGATTCTGCATATTGAGTGGAAGAAGAGTATCGGAGAAGAGTTTCTCAATCGAAATTTAGTTCAGCATTCCAATGCTGTGAAATAACTTCGAGAGCTTGAGCTCGACCTTTGAGAACACCAGCTCTCTCCGATAGTGATAGAACTGCCACACCAGAACTGGATCTCTCGTGAAAGCGGCATTCGTCGCCAATTCAGTTGCTTGATGAGTTCTCCACAGACCGCCTGCACCTCTGAAGGTCGGCACCCCGCTCTCAGCCGAAGTTCCAGCGCCAGTCAGGGCTATTATCGACTTGGCTCGTGCGAGAGCCTCTCGGAATTTCGCTGTTTTACTCATGAAGCTGAAAGGGGGGTGCGATTGAGTTCAGAACTCGATAGAGCGGAGGAATTTCATGAGCCGTCGTAAGCCGTCCGAGAATTTTTCGGCGGAGAGTCTGCCTCAATCAATGGCCCTCTCCTGAGTGAATCAGAGTGAAATACTGCATCGCTCGATGCTTATAAGCTGAATCAACTCACTCCCTGTCGCCGAATTTCGAGGAGCACTGCATAACGAACAGCTGATTGTCGGCCGAGCTTGTAGCGTGTGAGTCGCCCGAGGTATCAAGCTAGGAACTACGGCCTACCACGCAATACTTATCGCTGAAGATTTTAACCGAACTGCTCGTCCATACGAAATCGAGCGTCTTAGTGGCAGGGTTTCGTGACTCGGAGTCGGGCCGTAAATTCGGAGGATCATACACGGACTCGAAGCTCAATCTTTTCGAATAAGCCGCGCTGACTCCATTTCGTCTGCACCTTTCCTCGCGGCGGGAGCGCACACACACCTCCTCGGCGGCGGCGGCGACGCAGACACACGGAGACACCCGAACAACACATACACACCGGAGTGTTTTGTGTTCAGTGGTCCCTACTCGCCCTGACTCGTCGACTGAGTGTTGTGCTAGAAATTTTGTGAAAATCCGTAGGGTAACTCACGATGGCGGCTCGAAGCAAGCGGCAGAATCCGGACGAGATGGCAACCCTCGAGTTCGAGACTAGCGACGGCGTTGAGGTAAGAGTCTCTAGGCGGCTTTTTATGCTGCTGCGTTCGGACAGCTCCCAGATATTCAGCGGCGTGTCTGTTCTATATATCCCTGAGCCGCCTATCCCGCGCTCGGGAACTCCGGCCGCTCACCCCAGGCAACTCTTGCGAGGCTTCCCTACGGGGAGCTGGGGCGCTCTACCAAAGCGAGAGCGTTTTCGAACAAGGAAACGCGCGCTCAACCCTCAGATCTGAGTAAAACGTTATTGGCCCGAGCGAGCTGGTTCTGCACCGCAATCGCGTAGAATGCTCCCAGAATTTCCTAGTATTGGATGATCACGGAGGTGTGCGAATCTCAATCTAAAATGGAGTCAACTTACTCTTCAGGTCATAAACTCGTTCGATTCGATGGGTCTTCGAGAGGATCTTCTGCGTGGAATCTACGCCTATGGTTTCGAAAAACCATCTGCGATCCAGCAGAGGTCAATCCAACCGATCATGAAGGGCCGCGACGTGATCGCACAGTCACAATCCGGAACCGGAAAAACCGCCACATTCTCAATTGGTGTTCTCCAGAAAATCGAGACCCAAACACGTGAAACACAAGTTCTAATCCTCTCGCCCACCAGGGAGTTGGCCCTGCAAATTCAGAAAGTCATTCTGGCTTTGGGCGATTACATGAGCGTGCAGTGCCACGCTTGCATCGGTGGAACGAATCTCGCTGAAGATATTCGCAAATTAGATTACGGACAGCATATCGTCAGCGGAACACCTGGTCGGGTGTTCGATATGATCAAGAGAAGAAATCTCCGGACCCGCGGTATTAAAATGCTCGTACTCGACGAAGCCGACGAGATGTTGAACAAGGGCTTCAAGGAACAAATCTACGACGTTTATCGATATCTTCCACCGGGGACTCAGGTCGTCCTTATCTCTGCAACACTCCCGCACGAGATCCTTGAAATCACCAACAAATTCATGACCGGTGAGCCTCCCTTCTAGAACTCAAACGTATTTGGCGGCGTGCGAGCAGCTCTCCCGATCCAGCCTCTGTTGAACATCCGATGGAGCTGAATGATTAGAATCTCTTTTCTCCGATTCCAGATCCTGTCCGCATCTTGGTGAAACGTGACGAGCTGACATTGGAAGGAATCAAACAATTCTTCGTTGCGGTCGAGCGCGAAGAATGGAAATTCGACACTTTGTGCGATCTCTACGATACTCTGACTATCACCCAAGCCGTCATATTCTGCAACACGAAAAGGAAGGTCGACTGGCTCTCACAGAAAATGCTTGAAGCCAATTTCACCGTGAGTTCCATGCACGGAGACATGCCGCAGAAAGAAAGAGACTCGATCATGAAGGAATTCCGCTCTGGAGCGACCCGCGTCTTGATCACCACCGACATTTGGGCGCGAGGTATCGACGTTCAACAAGTTTCTCTGGTTATCAACTACGACCTGCCGAACAATCGTGAACTGTACATTCACCGCATCGGTCGTTCCGGCCGTTTTGGGAGGAAAGGTGTCGCCATCAATTTCGTCAAGAATGATGACATAAGGATCCTCCGCGATATTGAACAGTACTACGCGACACAAATCGACGAAATGCCCATGAACGTGGCTGACTTGATCTAGAACAGGCTTCGCGTTACGATATCTAAACACATAAATACGAATGTATATCTGTCTGTACCAATCGCCTAATCTCTTACTCGACGAAGCGGAGAATGATGAAATCCCAGAGGCAGCATCTCAGCTGGTCTAGGGAACATCACAGGCACATCAGATCCGATGAGGACGCACTGTTTCCTCTGAAGAGGCTCGTAGCGTGATCTTTGGATGGAGAGAGCAAACGATGTGAATAATGCCTATTGATGATTAGAACGAAGTTTACGCGCCGTCCTCATCGACACCTCTCGAAGAGTGTTCGGGTCAGAGAGCGTCTGGTTGATGCCATCCGCGAAACGTTCCGGGATCGATGATACCAGTGGGGGGTGGTAGGGATGAGAAGGAATGGAGCGGAGATGTTTTCTCGCCGCCGATCCTGTGATCTCAAAAGATACATCATTCGAATTCAGAAGAACCCCTCAAGGACCAAAATTCCGAGTCTAAGGCTTAGATTCAACGAATTCATGCCTTTCACATGGACAGCTTTACGGTTTACAGTGCTTGCTCTCGAGTCGGCGAACCATGGGATTCATTCGTTCTCACGCGGGATGGGAGAAGGAGGGATAGAGAACATCGCTTATACGCAAGATTTGAAGTTAATGATCGATTCGAAACAACAAACGAATAAAGCCACCCGACAATCTATCATGATTCTGCCAGCCGGATATTTTCCCGTCGAGACCGTGGTTGGATCCAGAACAGCGCGGACAGTTTCGAAAATTTCATTCCGGAGAGTCTAAATTATAGAAATTGACAGTCTTACTGATAGCGCGATCGAGGCGGTTTCGATCTGCAAAATCTGCCGACACTTCGATTAGAACTGGCAGTCTCTATGTCCGGACGGGCAGACGTCTAGAGTTGCGATACCAGAGGACATCTCTTTCATGTCCGCTCCTCGAAGTTCTACTGAAAGTGTCCGCTCCCCGGAAGTCCCGGGGAAATAGCACGAACCTCGATTGAAAATTGACTTTCCACTCCATTTTCTCGTTCTTGGCACCGGGGTCCTTGACTGCCTGAGCAGGAGCCAAGGATTGGATCGAAACTTCTCAGCTAATCGTCTCTGTACGATTATATGTTGGTGAAATTGAAGTTTACCAGAGTGTCGCTTATCAGGGGGATATTAGGAGTTTTGAATCAACTCCGTAGTATTGACCAGATACATGGGATATATTATCCGTTCTCGAGACGTCCACTTTTCGTTGCAATTATATCCGAATAATAAAGACATTTTCCTCTCATCGGGATCCAGAAAACGTACTCTCATACCCAAACTCTAATCATGACCCATCCAGCCTTCTCCTGGAAAGGCTCAATCGAATAGTGCTCTCTCGACCACCTGATTCTCGACTCAGCTGGTCCCGATCGCCCTATCAATGAGGGGCTGTGTTAGGCTCGTTCAGGCTAGCTCTGGCAATCGACCGGTTGTCGAGCGGTCAGCGCGTTCATCTATTCCTCTGCAAACGTGCGTTTTGTCAATAATCGCGATTTACATCAGTCGCGCCTCAGAGGAGGGAGGTTCCGGAATCGCGGACTGATCCCGTGAAAAGTTCCACGGGTCTCACGCACGAGGAAGAGGAGGGTTGGAAAAGCTGGACTTCTCATGAATTCTGAGTTACGTTTCGCAGCAGAGCTTTTCGGTGTTCCGATTCAGGAACCATAGAAGGCTACTATTGAAGGGGGGCTCGTTGTGTGATATCCACTGTATTCTACAGCTGAGACGATGATGATGATGCGCGAACCAGCCCTCCGAAACCAATGTCTCAGAAGGGTTCTCCGAGTGAAAAGTCGGTTTGTGCTTAAAGTTATCAAGAAGTGTATCTCGAGAGTTTATTATTGAATGATCATGGAGGACAATGAGCTCGAGTACTATCGGAAGGAATTCCCATCGTCGATGCTCAATCGAAGTCGAATTCTGGGAGCGGACAGTTCTCACCAAACTACGATTCTCTCACGAGAATCGGTGACTGAGGGGACGGATCCCTTCGATTCAGTGTGATATTTGCAGGAAAGATCTGGGCGCCGAAAAACTGATTCATTGATTCCGAAATCAGCTGCATGGCATGATTCTCCTCGAGGGAGCGAGGCGAGAGAAACGAATTCGAGACAATGAGATAAAAAAGAGAAAAATCATTTGTTTCCTAAAAATGAAACGAATGTCAGTCTTTGACATCAACCTAATTCGCGAAACCGCTCATAGTCGAGAGAAGGGTAAACTATTCGGCACATCGAATCTGTTTTCAGAGTCAATATGTTACCGGAGAACGCATGGTGTCATATGTGGTTTTAGGTTTCGAAAACAGCTTGATGTTGTCCACCAGGTGTTTGAGACCGGGCTCGCGGACGATGCTCAATACAACTTCGGATTTCGGGACTCTCACCAAATGAGTCCTAAATTTCGGCAGCAAAGTCTCAATCCATGTCGGGTACGATCTGTAATAATTTCAGAAGGTCAATCCACAGCACGGGATAAGATGCTTCGGGCCTGGAGTTCTCGAGGTCAATCACAGAGGTTCGGTTACATCTATCTCAATGTTCTGCCGATGTCCTCTCGGAGCTATCCTCGACACCATACAGACCTGAAGTCCAAAGAATCGGCTGTTTCCAGAAGACAGCCGATGAAACACAAACCAAGCTTCGATTCGATTGCTTGATCACAGTTGTTCACCAACAAACAACGTGTCAGTTTGATGATTTCGTCCATTGAACATTTGCTGATGATGCGCTGGAAGACCAGATTCTTCAGCCCGAACACCATGTCGTTCCGGTCCTCGTAGAGGAGTTTCTCAAGGTTTCGGAGGATCTCTTCGAGAATCTCCAGCGCATGGTCCCGGTATCGCTTCTCACGAGACATTATCGACAAGGAGTGCATGAGCTGCGGACAAGGAGCCTTCTTAAACGAAACCTCCGACACACAAGCACTGCTCAGGGAGAAATCTCACAAGAGCAAGCCACAATCTTCCAGGTTCGGAGATTCAAAATGATCAAATCATTAGTAAAATTCCATGTCTTACGAGTCTTCTCGCATGCACCATCTTGGAGAACGGGAGAACGTTCTGAGGCGTCACATGCTGTTTGAGACGGTCGAGTAGTTCCGCCCGTTCTTGCTCGCATGGTGGATCCTCAGGATCGGTGAGTCGGTCGAAGACATCCTCCATAACTTCGATTTTCGGTACGAGCTCCGCAATGTTCTTCAAGTGCTCCAACGCGGTGGTTTTCATGTCGTTCAGCTGTTGATTGACGATCTCTTCCTGCGGGAAATGGCAAAAAATGTCATTTTCAAGGCCGACCTCCCTCCGGAAGGACAACCTTCAGAGGAGGCCTGGCAGGGTCAACGTTCGACCGAGGAACAGTCTCCTGCATCGTTATTCATTACCTTCGTTTGTTCTAGATGAGAATACATGGGCTCCATCTGCAGCTTCCTGCAAGTCTCGAAATAGAGATCCTGAACTCGCGGATCCCTGATTTCGGGATACCGGAAGTTATCATCCGGATAAGCGCAATGTTGCTGTGAAGGCACCAAGTCCTCTTCGGATCGCGAATACTGGATGGACGGCTGTGAATCCGGCGACGGAAGGCATCAAGATTATTGAGCCCTAGGTATCCTACATACGTCCACTTCATGTGGACCGATCAACGCATTGGGCTGGTGTACTCACCGACTTTGTTGGCACGGCTCCGAATTGATGCCTCTCGACAGCGTCGATTCCGAAGGTCTCGACATTACGAAGATCGAAATTGTCTTGCCGGAACGCAGCGTTCCTGCGAGTGAAAGCGTGCGGCGACATGACATTTAGGTTCCTCGGAACTTCCTTGTAGTGGGTACAGCCGAAGTTCGAGGAGCTCCTCCTCGACGCTGAGGTCGGGGGCGCTGGGTGGCGAGCTCGGTTGTGGTCCACGTACGGATCGGAACGCCGCAATTCATCGTCGTAGTCGCGCAAGTTGCGTTCATCCACGTAGTTTCCAGGGTTTTGTGGAAACATTGCTTCCGAGCGTCGATCCTGCTGGAAGGTCACCCGCTTTCCACAATTCACGGACGGCGATGACTGAAGATCCTCGAAGTGTTTTTGACCCCAAGAGGTATGTTGCACCCTCTGGTGGTTGCCGTTCTCCGAGCCCTGAGGCAACTCTCGATCTTCGGAGGACAGATCTAAATCGAGGGAATTGAAGGAGGAGTTGATGAGGGTCATCATCTCGCTAGGCTCCTTGGTGTCCTCTTTTTTCGGGTCCTCGTTGACTGCTTGAGGTTCGTCCTCGGGAGTCCATTCTTCTGCGGAGCGAAGAAAATTATGGGCCTCAGCGAAGAACAGGGAATTTCAATCGAATCTCAACATTGCTGTACACCCCCGAGAAATATTCATCCAGGATCCCTCGATCGTCCCGGCTGTTTGGCTTATCCAAACTGTCTTGAGTAACCCGAATATCAGATACATGTACCTAGATGGAGCCCCAGCCATTTCGCCTCACATGATCAATGTCAGCCGGGCGAGCGGGGATTTCAGGCTCTGGGAACGCATTCGGGAAAACTTGAAAAAAAAACGAACCCATGCCAGAGAAAGTTTCGTCATTGAACCGATCGAAAGTGATCTCGTCCAAGTCGTCGATCTCGTCACTCAATTTCTTGGGCACTTCACGAAGCGCGACAACGCTACTTGGGTTCCGCAACGCCATTCTTCGCCGAGGTTCCTGCTTTTTCCTCCTTCTCGCGGAATCCGTTCAATGAGGTGTCGGTCAGCCAGCGGTCCAGGTCTCGTGCCAGGAGCAAGTCGGTCAACGCGTCTTATTTGGGTCGAGCACTAACGGAAGTCGCACACTAGGAGGTCACTGGAGACTCTCAAGAGCGATTCGTCGATTGTTATTCCCGAGCGAAGAAGACACAAGAATTACGATTACGTTATACGGCGGAGGAGCGGGGGTGGGCTTCGTTGTCGCGGGATGATCGTCAAGAGCTTGCGTCGGTCGTCCCTGATTTTGAATAGGGAACAAAACGCAATACCGATCACTATCTTCTTAATCAAAGGAGAAGAAGCGTCGCCGCCGAACACCGCCGTTGCGAGATCACGTGTCAGGTTCGAAATGCGACGTCCAAGCACATATTATGTGGCGCGTTCTACAACGGATTTGATTTGCGCGCATACGGCGCGGTGGTATAGACGCACCTCTCGACACGACGGCTAGCGAAGGGAATTCCGAGATCCGATAATTTCACCGCTCCCGCTGAGCGGGACGGAGATACTCAATCAGTGACAGAGATGTAGATTCCTCGATACGGCGACGATCAAAACGGATTTCCGCGATCTTTCGAGAACTTCGTAGCAACAGACGCTGAGGTATTGAGTGGGAGACCGCGGAATTCTGTCCGAAAAGCCGGGGCGGAGCTCCAACGCTGCTCAAGAGACTTCACGGATCATCGTAGTCTAAAAAGCGTCACGACAGACTCGGACGCTCATCCGGCACCATTCCCCGATCAGACGCATTGACACCCGAGTCCAGACTCGGGAACGCGTCTGAAGATTCGCTTTCGGAATTCGCTCGCATCTAGCGAAGGGATCCCGGTGGCGTATTGCAAGCAAGGGAGGACCGTAGCTGTGATGGCTGATGTCTTCTGAGATTAGTCATGACTACTGATGATCCATGTCGGATAGACCAGATGATCTGCAGCGGAGCGGAACTCGAATCGAGACTCGCTCGATAAGTTTGAGTCTCGACTCTCGGCGGAAGATCGAAGTGCACGATTCCGATGCTCGTCATCGTATTCTCATCTCCGGATCCGGACGAATTCCCATTCACTGGCGAAGTTTGCATTTCGGACTCGGTGGACCGCGCTCTCCCAGGGCGTTTTCCTCAAACGTTCCAAGCCCGGAGAATCAGACCAGCGCTCAGCTTTCCTCGGCATGCGAACAATCTCATTTCTTGATCTGTTCGACAGCTACTCGAAATCCTTGCCCTCGTCGACGCATCATCGGCATTGGGCGAGATCGATCTCGGACGATCCTGAGCTGCCAAACTCCCAAGTCTATGTGCGCGCACTCTAACTCCTCGGGTCGAGGAAACCAGGAAGACCGAGCACACGCGATTCAGGAGAAATATCTTGGTGCCGTCGGGAACACCGGCCCCGCAATCGAAGATGAGCGAGAAACGACCCACATAGTGGTTCACCGATCTAAATGAATGAATACTCTCCCTTGATTGTTTCCGGGAGGAATCTATCGAAGTCCGCAACGACTCGCTTCTTTGAGTCCGGAATCGGGAGCTCTTCTCCCGTTCGGCCAGATTGATTCTGGACAGGATCAGTAGTTACCTTTGGCGGTTCGAGGAGAACGATCCGGCTGAGATTTCAGAACATCTCTGTTCGGAATAAGGGATGCCATGCTTCTTTTCGAAGAAGTGTACGTCAACAATGCCCGTGCCCGAACACAACCGCCTGACTCGCCGCGGAGTGTGGAGGACCACAGACGCATGCGGACACGAGCATTCAGTCAGCCAGTCAATCGGTCCGTCCGTCCGTACGTCTGCTGCCAAAAAGAGCCACCAAAGCACCACCATCATTTCTCCATCGCCTCCACCGCTGAAACTTCTCGCTGTCTGTGTCAAGAAATCTGTTTGAAATTTGACGCCTTCTTTCCGTAGAGTTTTAGTTATTGCGAGTGAGTCTGGGCGCAGTCGCGAGCTGGAGACTATTCTAGACGAGTGATCTGTTGTAGTCGCAGTTCATCGTTCGGTGCTCTCCAAATCGAGCTCCAAGCTGATTCTCGCAGCTCGACCTAGAATTAATTATGAAAGGACAGTCATGATGCGAGGTCCTTCCCACGGGAGAAACATCTTTCATCCGATTTTATTATGGATACTTTTTAATTAAACATCGACGATCATCCATAGTGGTTGAGAACATTGATCATTGCCGGGACGAAAGATCGGTACTTGAGCTTCTTGGGAATCATCGGTTTCGGGAGCTCCGTGCACTCTTTGGACTCGGGTGTGAATTTACCGCATGGGCCATCAAGCAGGTTCTCGCCGATGCGGTAAACCATATCTTTGAGGAACTCCGCGGCCTCCTCCGGGCACTTGGCGCGGGCTCGAGTCTCCATGCATTTGGAGTAGGTCTGGATGGAACTGTAATGGAGAACTCTGAGCGTCGGATCCCGATTCAGGAGCCTGCTGGCACATGTGACGCCAACGCACCCGAGCCGTACGTACCAACAACTGTGGGCCAGTAGGTGTTGTCTCTTCTCGAGCTTCACGGCGGCCTCCATCAACGCAGTCATTTCTTTGTTGCAGGCACTCAGCTCAGCGGACGCTGTATTCCAGCACGGTGTATGCTTCAGATACTCGGTCTGCTTCTCACCGTAGCAGCGACCGTGGAGCTCTTCTCCCGAGCTATCTAGGAGCAGCCTCATGACGCCTGCACAGATTGGCACAATTATAGAGGGTACTTTTCAGGTTTCCCTTGAGCTAGGATAGGTTCTCTCTCTTACCTCCGGCTACTCCTTTGATACACGTTCTCGTGTAGTCTTCGATCCATTCGAAAGTTTTGTTATCACTCATACACGAGGCCTCCAGACCGGCTTTGTCGACTGGTTGTGTGTTAGAAGTCGTCGAATACAGTAGGAGAGTCCCGGCGACCTGATCGAATTTCTCCTCGTCGCACACAGCAGCACCAAGGGTAAGATGTAGGAGCAGTGAGCCTGGGGTTTCAAGTAATTCATGAGCTCCTCCTTTAGGACGATTGATTGCGATCATGACATCAATGCTCGTATTCATCGATTGCTTGGAGACCTCCAGTGTCACGAGGATTCGAGGGGTCCGGGTGGCTAGTACGGACACGATTTAAAAGTAAAAGTCTCACCTAGCAGAGCAGACCTGAGGAGCATTTTTGAGATTTTTTCTTTCCGTTTCCTGTGAAATAACCTCGCCGCGATATACTCACGCAGCACTGAACCACCGGCTTCACATTCAACACTGGACAGCGCACAGATTCTCAATGAGACACGAGTTTTACTTCTCTTTCTTTCTGTTCCATGAACCCTCGCCGAGCTGTGACCCCCAGCATCTACCGGTCGATATTTTCCGTGGCCCACTTCTGAGGAAGAAAAACTATCTGCACAGCGAATGAGATTCCAATATGACGTTCCTCCTATATGGCTTCGACTTTCTGTCGTTCGGCGGATTTGCGTTCACCAGCCTCTGCTCTTCGAACTATTCCCCAATCCACGTCGGAATCTTCGGATAGCGCGGAGCCGTCAACGACTCCGGGGACGCTCAGGATCTTGGCTCCATGTCGAGAACCATGGAATGAACGGTCGCGTTCGAGTATGCGGAGAGTGCACGCCTGAGAGAGAGCTTATCGGAAACGTTCGTTCTGCGACCGAATACAAGGTTAGCGTGCCATCCGAAGGTCCTCGGCACGATTTTGAATCAAAAACTCCGATCGAATTGTGCAGTAGAGAAAACAGCTTGTTGTTCCAAAGATAGGCAGCCATGGTAGACAGAAAAGATAATTGAAGGTCGGAATGACCAGAGGTCGATCGAAGTTTGCCTGTAGGTCAATACGATAGGAGGAGCAACAGATCGCTTCTGCATTGGTCCTTACGAGCATCCAGAGCGAATTTCGACCGTTGACGTTCCGCGTAGAATTTCTGGTTCTCGAAATAGACTTTCGGGAGCGGCTTCTGTACAATTAAAACCCCGATAATCCCAAAGTGGCAAAAACGATCGGACGATGACGTCATACTACGGGTAGAGACAGAATCAAAACAACAGATTCCGACTTGACCGTCGGACGTCGGGCTCAGCCAGCGCAATCCGGTTTTCGTCCACGAATATCTCTTCTGCCGCGCGAAACAAAGACAATCTCGTCGGGCGAACCTCTGATTCTGAGGGATGCTAAAGCTCGTGATAGCATCCGTGACCCCGAGGATGTTATATATCGCGTCGATTCCCGGCTGTCCAAAAGAATCAAGGGCCTTCGACATCTCGTTTCCAGACGACAGCAAGCTGTCTCCCGATACCGTGGTTTCTCATCCCATGCTGGAACTTATGTACGGCTCACTCGGCCCCTCTAGCATTAAAGTCCATGATGTGAAAGACTTCATTCCTCTGATAGGGCACTCGAGTCTAATTCACGCCGATGCGTGTGGCTTTATTCACTGACCGATACTAATAATACAATTGATTGCTAATAAGATGCTGCGCCGTCTCAATACGATGCGCCTCTTGGAGAGCTTCGATGAGTCTGCTGAGTGCACTTCCCCCGGCCAGACACTCTTGGAGATTGTGGACGGAGATTCCCGCTCTATGGTCGGTCACCCGATCCTGTGCGAAATTGTACGTCCGGATTTTCTCCGACCTTCCTGCGGTACCCACCTGAAAAAATATCTAGTGAACACGGTTCTCCCTTGACAGAAGTCATGACCCGATGCGAGATCCCACGAAGATTCGTGGTCGTTACCTGGAGTTTCCTTTCCGATCGCACTCTATTTGCCTCTTTGGAGACCTTCAAGTCGAACAGCTTCGCTCGGAGTTTCTTCATCGCGGCTTCCTTATTCATCAGTTGGGAGCGTTCGATATCGGCTTCAACCATGATCCCTTTAAGCATTGTCGGCCTAAATTGAGTTTGACTGCTGGGACGTTCCTTGTCTCAGGTCCCGGCAGTTTGCGGGAGGTATAATTTTGCGATTGTTCCGACTTCGGATCTCCGGCTCCCTTCTAAGGATTTCCCCCTTATTTCTACTCACCGCTTGGCGTATGCAATATTTGAACCGCGCTCTCGGTTTTATTGACGTGTTGACCACCGGGACCGCCGGCGCGCTTGAATTTCATGATCAAGTCCTTGGGATCGATTTCATCGTCAATCTGAAACATGGAGATACTGTTCGCAATCAGCGCTCCCCAACTCCATGGGAAATGTCACCGAGAGTCCGTTGCGGGAATCTACCGTCGGGAGTCACTGACCTCGGCGGGGCATGCCAGCACCGCCACTGTCGCGGTACTCGTGTGAATCCGGCCGCCGCGCTCGGTTTTGGGCGTTCTCTGCACTCGGTGAACACCCGATTCAAATTTCATATGTCTGCCGACATTCGCTCCGCAAAGGTGCAGGGTGCCGCTTCGCAATCCGCCTGAATTCAGAGGACGATGCGGGTTACAGCGTGCCGGATGGAAGGACCTGAACTCTACGAGTCCTCTCGCTCTCTCCTACTATGGGTGTGAGATGTAGCGACGGACCTGATTCTGATTCGGCAAATTCCACGACGTTGACGCCCCAGCCAGCGTTCCGGGCATAACTCGAGTACATCTTGAATAGATCGCTGTTGAAAAGCATGGCTTCCTGGCCTCCGACTCCAGCAGAAAACTCAACCAGGATCTCATCGGTGTCTTGAAGCTCATAGGGTAGAATGTAAAGCCAAGCCTGTTCGAGATGTATCAGATCCTTAGGAACGCTTTTCTCGTGGCGCTCTTCCAACATGTAAGATGTTTGTTCATTCAAGAGAAGTTTCCGACTTGCTACGCTGAAGGAAAGCGACTCACCTCGTTCGACAAGTCTTTCAATTTCCGCACACAGACGTCGATATCCTTCTGGGCGATTTCAGCCATTTCTTTCTCATCAGAAGCTCGCATCTCTGCAAAATCTCCCGCTCATTCTCCCAATCTCGCAAATCGCAAGAAGGCGATGGGGAGATCTGTCTCTCCGCAATCCCTGGCCGGGACACGCTGATGAAACCTTACAGAACAACTTGCGGGCAACCAACCTGAGCACAACTCTTCCAGGTTGTGGATCTCGTTGAGGACTGCGGAGGCTCTTCCGTAAATTGAACTCAACGTTCTAAGACGTTGCTGATTGATCCCGCTGATCTTCCTGGTTGTTTTGGCTTCGTTGGCCAAAAAGTTCTCGATGTTCGCCAAATACGCATTGACCTTGCTGTCTCGGAAATCGAGATCGAGATTCGCCGCTGAAGAAAACGATCTGACGCGGATCCGAATCATCTTCGCGGTTTTGACAGCACACCTCACCACGGACATCTGCAACGCATCCGATAAGCTGCAGGATCTCTCTAGACTCGACTCCGTGTAGATTCCCCCATCAGCTCGAGCAGTCCTGCCACCCGCCCACCAGATGACTTCTGATCGATCTCGGGATCAACGACATTCGAGGGACATCGGATCGAGAAACTAAGCGAGAGATCGTCTGACGGTATGAGCAGCTAGTCTAGTACACTCGGAAGCTACGGTATCCAAACCAAAACAGTTGCAAACACCCACCGCTCCCCATAATATCCTCTTCAAGTTCCTGAACGTAAAATCCTCTTGAGGAGGATGTGCTAAGAGGAGACGAGAACCTACACCTTGCGTCTCTTTCAACCAATGAAAACACGCAGAATTCGAGTTTTCCTTAAGTAATTATTTTATTTACCAAATGTACAGTATCGATGTTATATCTGGCATTCATCAACATCGATTGATTCACGGAACGACAATCTGATTCAGGTCTCAAACGCCTCTCATCACGTTCACCCTCTTCATCCGACTCAATTGGTTACTCCATTGTTGTGTTTTTTTTCCTCCATTTCCAGTGGTTTCTTCCGAATGTTCGGTTACCTACGACGATTTCTCCCCGACATACACAGTCGTTTTACGCTTTCCGTCGATGTCTCTGTAGGTTTACTCGAATCGATTCGTTCGTCGATCGTGTTACTCGTAATCTGTGTCTGTGTGCGTGTGTGTGTGTGTTTGTCTGACATGATCGTCTGTATCCGTGTTAAATTATTTCTACGGTCTCGTATCAAAGGAAATGTACAAGTCATAACAACGAATAGTCCACTTTTTACAATGGAATTCAGAGGCTGTCAAGAAAAACAAGGAGACGCGATCTCACTCCTCTGAATGACTCGAAAAGGTTTCATGGTTCTGCGGGTTCTCCCGCCTGCCGACTTCCGTATCGGGTAGGGACAAATTTAAATGCCCAACGTAACGAGTCACTGTGAAAACTGCTTGTGGAGAGGAACAATGGCTTCAACAGTGTGGCCTACGTGGTCAGTACTCTTGAAATGTGGTCACGAGTTCCTCTACGGCTTCAAACAATTCCTTCCCTCCAATGTCTGTTTGACTCTTTCCCAGAGAGTTGGGATCACAAAGAAAGAATATTCGTCGATTAATTTCCAGCATTCTCACTATGTACACACAGCGTCAGAATTTTCTTTCGTGTGTCTCCGGCTAATACAATTCGTTTCCACGTTCCTTCCCCGTCAAACATTCTAGACTCGCGCTACGGAGCCCGACCGTGACCGGACAATTCCGTCATCGTCCTATCTAGACTCCATTTCTCAACGTAACTGTGTCATTATTATTCCCGTTGGAATCCTCGAGGTGGTGCGAAGCTTGCTCCTGCATCCGCAACATCCGTTTACGCCTCTTGGACCACATTTCGTGACAGTCCTGGTTCCTGGGCAGCTCAGGAGGACGCAAGTCTCCGAACTGGACATCACAGAGCCAAGGACATTGCAGAGCTTTTTCGGCTGTAATACGTTTCTCGGGATCGAGCTCGAGCATCTGATCGAGGAGATCGAGAGCCTGGCTCGGTATGAAACAGAACTTCTGCCGAACCTTTCGGGGATGTTGTTTCTTCGGCTTGAATTGTGAGAATAATGGCAGATTTATCACTCGCGGCCATACTGATGGTGTGGGCGTTCCGCACACTTGCGATATAATGTCGAGCTGTTGCATCTCCTGACTCGCCTTGAACAGAGGTTCTTTGGTGAACAGCTCTCCAAGGATGCAGCCGCAGCTCCATACGTCGATCGAGGGACCGTATCGTTCCTCTCCTAATAAAAGCTCGGGCGGTCTGTACCACAGCGTGATAACCTTGTTCGTATAGGGTCTGTCCTTGTCTTCCGCGTTGTAGTAGCGCGCAAGTCCAAAATCGGCTAATTTGATTTGACCTTGATTGTTCATGAGGATATTTGAACACTTGATGTCTCGATGGAGGAAGTTTTTCCGATGACAGTACGAGAGGCCTTCGAGGAGTTGCTTCATGAACGATGCGATGTGGTTCGGCTTGAACTCCACGAGACCCGATTCGAGCAGACCCATCAAATCGTGATCCATATATTCAAACACTAGATAAAAGGCACCCTTGTCTTTTCGGAAGTCCAGAGCGTCCGATTTGTCGGTTACGACCTCCATCAGGTTCACGATCGAGGGATGATTCAGTTGACGTAGAATTTTGATCTCGCGAATAGCGGTGATAGGGAAACCTTCTTTTTCGTTCTCCATGCGTACTTTCTTCAACGCGACCATGGTGCCGCTCAACCGGTCCCTCGCTTTGTACACCTGGCCGTAAGTTCCCTCGCCAATCTGTTGCACAATGTCGAAAACGTCAACGCATCGTTCGCCCCAATTCGGTAGATCGTCGTCGGAATCGTTTCGGTTCAAAATCGTCGGTCGTCTAAACGTTTCCATCGAGCCGGTCGCCAGCGAGTTCTGTTCCCGGCCGTTCCTTTCAGTATTGCGACTGTGGTCTCGTCGGAGATCTTCGACACTGATACCGGGCGGCATCGGAAGCTCACGGACCCCCCGCCGCGGAGGCGTGGGAGCCCGCTCCGCCCGCATGGGGGGCGGCGACCGGGGCAGAGGCGGTTGCGGATGCTGCGCGTGAGACGTCGGCTGCCATGCGTCGTCTTTCGGAACGGACTGATTTGGTAGAGGTGGTGCAGCCGCCGAGGCGGCCGCAAGGGCCGATCCCGCCGCTCCGGCGACATTGGACGATAGCGGGAGCGAGCCTGCCGACGCGGCCGTCACCGACGAGCTCGAAGCGGACGCAGAAGTGTGTCTTTTCGCAAGTTCCTTGCCCTTCGGAAGCTTTCGGAGCTCAGAGGCGAAGGAATTGGAGAACGCGGGGTTGTCGACGGGCGACAAGGATTGGCTCGGTCGACGGGGCCGATGATTCGATCTGCGCGGCGGCGTCGGAGGCGAAGGGGACCGCCGACTTTTCCGTACGCTCCTGCTGCTCCCGCGGTAGCCGTTCGCTGGACTTCTGCTTCTCGAACTGGATCGCGGTCGCCTCGACGAGTACGACGACGGGCTTGGCGTGTGATGGTCCCGGTAGCTCTGGTATTTTTTGGAGACGGGGGGCGTTCGTCGGGGTCGAGTCAACGGACTGGGACTTCGCACGGTGCGGTATCGCGAGCCGGCCGGCTGATGCCGATACGAGTCGGGCAGCAGCTCTCTCGACGACGACGAAGACGACACGTAATTCGATGAGCGGTGATCGGACGACGAGTACGGAAAATCATACGGATACCGGTTGCTTCGCGGTGGTGTCGAACTAGGGAGGGGCGAGTATCGCTTGCTGTGTTTGCGGCTGCTCTCAGAGTTGTTATTCCGGCTGCTGGACTTTCGTTTCGATTCCCCTCGGTCACCACCTCGGTGATCGGGAGACGAATCGACGACTCCTTCCTCATCCTCGAGACTAGAGCCCGAGGATACGGTTTCGTACTCGGCCAGACGACCATGTTCCCTGCTGTCCTTGTCTCGTCGCTTCCGCTCTTTCTTGTGTTTCTTGGCTTTCTTGTGATGAGATGACTTGCCCATGACTCGATCCAGTGCGCAGTGATCGATCGTATGTCGTCGCGGATCTCGAATGCCCAGTCGGTCAGTGTGATTTGTACGGCGATGAGAATGTTATGACTGCTGCCACTGCCGCTGCTGCGCCGTTGCTTTGAGCTGCTGCTTCGAAGGGACGTCCACTCTCCATTCGGTGACTCCCTCTGCAGACGAACCCTCAAAACTAGCCGATTCTGCAAAGCCACTCGTTAGCTATAAATTATTGCTGTCCATTCATTGTTCGGGGATTCGGACACTCGAGGTACATACAGAACGTGAGGGTCCTTGCCACCAATTAGCACGAGAAATTCGCTTTTTATGGAAATGCGGAGCCACAAATAGATCTCATGTTTAAGCTCTCGTCGACGATGTCGGGAAGACCGCTAAGCGAAAAGCTTCCGGATCAGCCCAGGTCCGTTCGACATGCGACGCAATAAACTGACTCGAAGCTCTGATCTTCAGTGGAGATTACGAGGAGCGGCTGGGTGTGCGCAGAATAAAGCCCCCGGCTACTGGACTTCCGATCATCGAGGCGATCTCTTGACCCGCACGACGAGTACATCAACTGAACGTCTCGGATCACTCAAGCGGAGTTTCGATCTCAAAGTTCGTTCAAACAACTCGTGACCGAAATCCAGATCAGCTGGGGCATGCAATGTGGACTTACGTTTGCAATTTGCTTATTGTTGCTCCGGAATCATTCGACACTGCCTCGACTACCGCTGCTCAAAAACACACAAGTCGTGCCGCAAGTTGCCTCTGAGGATAAAAGCCGAACCAGACGGTTGTGATATCAACGCGGCAATTTCAAATGAGCTTTCCCGGCCACGCCCGGGGCGAGCTCCGAGCGTTCCTGGAGATCACCGTCGATGCTGCGAAGCTGTTCCCGAGCCGTCTTCGGTTCCGTCGGATTCACCCTCAAGACATGAGCTCCCGATGAGCACCGGATTCGAGCATCAATCGGAGTCGAAAATACGTAGCTGGGTCGACCGTCCTCTCCTACTGTGCTGCATATACCATCCCGCACATGATAATCAGATTGTACGGAAGAACGGATGAATGGCGTTTTTTCTTCAGGGAATGTTCCGCTAAAAACACCATGGAGTTCGGGGCCTCAATTTTCCATGGGGAATTCCGTACTAATTGAAGAAACTTGATCATCCAAGGAAAACGGAATCAGTCGACGGGAGAGTGAAGACGATGATGTCGCTGATCTTTGCTGAGAGCGCGAGCGCTCCGGGCGCTCCTCAACAATTTTCGTCTTCGACGGACCGACCTCCCACATTGGCAGCAGCACATTTCGCTACAGATCACGCTGCTGCTGATGCTTACGTATCCGGGAGCGAGCGAGTCAAAACATATAAGATTTCGAGAGCAGTATAATCGCGGTTCCCGCTCCCCTTGCAGCCGCCGCGATGGCCTCGGGGAATCCGTCCACTTCGAGACGAGCGAATCGCACTCAGGAGGGGCAGGGCTCGGATTTGGGTAAGATATTATAGGACCGCCGACACGCCTGACGCGCAGGGTGCCTTACATCCTTGGACTTCGACAATCCGACTAGCATGATCGCCCTCTAATTCGGAAGGATCGAGAATCGTCCGATCGTTGGCCAAGCTGTTAGCTTGAGAATTGAGAATCTCGCACTCGCGAATAGAATCCCACCAAGTGGTAGGGGCCATCAAGCAGATTTTTTCCCTAACAGCAACCGTAAATCCGACTATCGCAATTCTGGCGATTCACATTATATGTAGAGGTCGTCTGAGCGAGATAGAAGCCATGAATGATGCACGACCCATCGGACCCAAGGCACCCGTCCAATTCATCAGGAAAGGAGAAACCCTCGATCAATCATATGACTCGCCCATGAGGAGCACGCTCGCGTAAGTGCTTGGCTCGACGCTCGACTTCATTTCTTCCGGTCGCTACCACGTGAGTAGCCTGATTTGCCCCAGGACGTCTTCGGTATCCTCGCGATCGATCAAATGCTCTCCAGTAGAGCTTGAACAAAAATCATCATCATCAGCGTCCGGTGAAGGGTCGTCTGCAACATATGAAATCGAACTAGACGTCAAGGTAATTCCCTGTTCGATCCGATTCCCTGGGCATTCGTCGTCTCTCTTCAGAAACTTTGGCACTGAATATTCTTTCCCTCTCGCTCTTAGGCCCAACTTTTCCCCCCATTCTCCCGCGGACCAGGAGATGTTCCAGGTCCAGATAACTCTGCGGTGGGAGATCTGAACATAGGGCCCTTTAATTCTGGGAAGAGCCGGGTGTAGCCTTAAGGAAAACTGTAATCGACCCGATCGTCAACGCTCACTACTCGGACTCAAGGTTAGAGATCTGAATGAGAGATCGTTCGAGTTCAGTTCAGTCTGGATCCAGGTTCTGGGAGGTGACAGCTGTTTGGAAAACAGCTCCCTGTAGATGGCCCCCTCATTCATGGCGTTCACTCTCTCGAGCTCCGCGAAATTCCTTTGTCCTCATTTCGACTATCATATGTAATGCAAATCCTGACCGCAATATCGCCGCGGAATTTCTGGAGAGCCATCTGGCGATTGAAATGTTCTGCTCGGAGAGTGGAAATCCTTGTTCTCCGAACTTCGTTCCTTGTGCGATAACTCACTGTTTTCTCTTGCATCCAGATGGCGGATCCTCTGGCTGGAGTTGACGGTCACATTCAGGAGAACCTCTGCCATGACGTCATAAAGGAAGCCTTAGAATCGGGAAGGGATCTACGTGAATATTCGAGGAGTGTCGATCAGCAGTTGAAGGGAACGGAAGACGAAGCAATCAAAGATTACATGGAAAACTGCAAAGATATCGCTGCGTTACACAATGAAATTGCCTCTTGTGACGGTATACTACAGGTCATGGAGAACATACTCCGGGGATTCCAGGTGGGAAAATAGTACGGAACCGCTCGTATCCTCGTTGATGGCGATTCCCGCATCTACTCTCGGTCCGGGCAGACCCCAAATGAACGAGGCAGGCTCTCTAATGAGCAGCTCCTTAACTTCCAGAACGACTTGGGCTCAATCTCGTCTGAGATCCAGAGTCTTCAGCGACAGTCAGTGGCCATGAATCTCCAGCTGAAGAATCGTCAAGCTGTCAAAGGGGAATTGAGTCAATTCGTTGACGACTTCATTGTCCCGGAGTCCACAATCAACGTTATCCTGGATTGCCCTGTTACCGACGAGGAGTTCCTCGCGCAACTGTCTCTCCTAGATCAGAAGATATCATTCGTGAAAGTTCAAAGTTTCAAAGAAGCCTCATCTTGTCAGGACGTCAAGGACATTCTGGACAAAGTAATTCATCCTCCTTGTGAGCGAATATACCTATCGGACACTCCCGTAGAGCCTTGCCCTCGGCTCGTTGGACTGGCAGAGGAATCTAAGAACTGGTTACGTTTCAGCTCAAAGTCTGCGCCGTCACGAAGATTCGAGAGTGGCTCCTCCAAAAAGTGTTCTCCTTCCGGAAACCCAACGCCAACTTCCAGCTTCCGCAGAACGCCATGCTCAAGCACAAACTCTTCTTTCAATTTTTGGCCACTCACGAACGAGAAGTCGCCAAGGAAGTTAGAGAGGAATATGTTAACACAATGAGCAAGGTCTACTACTCTTATTTCAAAGCCTACCATAGCCGTCTCATGAAACTTCAGTTCGACGACGTTCCGGACAAAGACGATCTGATGGGCGTGGACGACACACCGAAATGGGGACTGTTCAATAAGCCGTCCCTAAAAAATCGATCGACGATATTCACTTTAGGGAACCGCAATGCCGTCATGTCCGTCGAGTTGGAGGCTCCGGTTATCGTGCCTCATGCTTCAGCAAAAAATGAAAAACACTATCCGTTCGAGCAGCTGTTCCGTTCCATGCAGTACGCGCTCTGTGATAACGCGGCTCGAGAATACCTTTTCATCTCGGAGTTCTTCCTCTTGACGAAATCCGGCGCCGCAGAAGCGTTCGATAGTATCATGGGGAAGAGCATGTCGATGTTCGCAAAGTACACGGAGACCTTCGTCGCGGAATGTTTCGATTCCATCGCGCTTTTCCTCTGCATTCACGTTGTGCATAAGTTGCGGATACTGATGCACCAACGTAATGTGCCGGTTCTTGATAGCTACTGGGACGTCCTGGTCGCCAATATTTTCCCGCGCTTCGAAACCATCCTCAGACTGAACATAAACTCCATCAGAGATTGCGATCCGTCTAAATTAGGGAGCATCGACAATCGACCACACTACATAACGAGGCGGTACGCAGAATTCTCCGCGGCTATCGTAAGCATCAATGAGAATCACCCGGACGAGAGAGTGAGCATCCTGCTGGGGCAGCTTCAGATGGAGGTCGAGAACTTCATCTTGAAAATGGCGGCGGAGTTCAATGGGCGGAAGGATCAACTTATTTTTCTTATCAACAATTACGATATGATGCTCGGCGTCTTGCAACAAAGAACCCACGAGGATTCAAAGGAAACCACGAACTTCAGAACCTTATTGACGGCTCGTCAGAACGAATACGTTGAGCAGATTCTCACGATTCATTTCGGAGGAATGATGACTTTCATCAAGGAATGCGAGTTCTACATCGAGAAAGGTTCGACCTCGCGTAATATTCTGAGCTTTTCGATACTCTCATCTTCTCTCGGAACGAATCGCATGCCTCAGGACTTCGATGTGGCTCAGTTCTTCCCGCCTTGAGCTCGGTGCGGTCTAAGGAGGGGGGCCGGAAGCGGATTGTAATGAATGAGGGATGCCATGAGAATATTTCTTGTTTCTTCCAGGTCAGAGCGAAAAACTGGAGAAAGAATCGCACAAGGTTGCCACTCTCGTCAGAGGTTTCAACTCCGGTTGGAAGAAAGCAATCGACGACATGAACGCGGATTTCATGAAAACTTTCACCAACTTCAAATGCGGGACCAATATCCTTCAAGAAGCTCTCAAACAGTTGCTGCAATACTACCATCGCTTCAATAAGGTTGTCTCGCAACCGCCCCTCAACGCCTTGCCCGTCCGGTCCGAGCTCATCAACATTCACCATCTTATGGTTGATATAAAAAAATACAAAGCAACATTCTGATTCCGGGGTTCCCTTGAGAGAAATCAATATCGAACGTCAATATACCCGGTGTCTCCCGTTGTGCTCACGCAATCAGACGTGCTTGTGATATAGAGAAAACCATGTATAGATAAGGGGACAATTTTATCAACTAAAGACAATTTTGGTCACGGTTACGGTGCGAGTTCATTCGGGCATTCTTTCCGTGTAGCTCTTTGGTGACGAGTCGGGAAGACTCGTTCCTCACCAACAGAGCCAGTCCTGCGAAGAGCCTGTCACCGGGGGGAATCTTCGAGGGAAGCCGCTCCAGCGGATCCGGCTCCGGCGTTACCGGAATAAATTCCCATGCTGGAGGGAAAGAAGAGGCCAACGAATTTCGTTCTGATAAGTGGATGAAGTTCTTTATTAAGAGTGCTTTAAAATGTCCAACGAGGAAGGAGGATCCGATGTTTTAGGAACTAGGCTTGTTTAGCGAAGAACGTTTTGCTGGCCTTCGTATCCGGGATCATCGTGTCAGCTCCGGGTTTCCAGTTTGCAGGACACACTGAAAATGAGGAATTCTGAGTTCGGCGTCCTCTGAGTCAACTCCCATGGGATGAGAACTGGGTTCAGAGATGGCGAGATCCGAAGGTTCGACCCAGCCAATGCAGAATCATCCGGCATCAGACAACAGCTTAGGATTATACCGAAGCTCCATCAACAAAACGCGAGAGAAGGTAGGGAGGAAGGAAGAAAAAAGGAGCTAATGTGCGGTAAATGCATGCAGGAGAGTAACAAATCGTGCGGGACTCGTACTCTGGGAGTTTTGGCATCGGGTGCGAAATGTTCGACAGATTCTGGACTGAGGGGTCGCTTTTTGCTTTCGGGTTGTTCTCGCTGCGCTTCTTCGCCGCAATTGTCGTTCAGGTTCTTACCCTCTCCATGTTTGTCAACGAACTGGAACGCCTGCACCAAACGCAAGGTTTCGTCGACCGAGCGGCCTACAGGTAGATCGTTGACGGTAATTTGACGTAAAATGCCTTTTCCGTCGATGATGTACAGCCCTCGGAAAGTGATTCCTTCTTTCTCTTCGAGGACATCGTACGCGCGAGCAATATCCATGCTCTTGTCAGCGAGCAAGGGGATGTTCATTCCACCGAGACCGCCTTCCTTGCGAGGAGTGTTGATCCAGGCCAGATGACTGAAGTGGGAATCGGTGGAACAGGCGATCAATTCACAGTTGATGTCCTGAAATCGAGGGAAACTTGTTTAGGACGGATCGACGAGGAAAGTCGACCAAGGACACAATGTGCACGGAACGATCCCGTAGACGTCCAACTCAGATTTGCGAACGCACCCTGAATTTCTGAGCGGCTTCCGAGAAAGCGATGATCTCGGTGGGGCAAACAAAAGTGAAGTCCAAGGGATAGAAGAAAAGAATGACGTATTTTCCCTTGTAGTCAGACAGCTTGATCGTTTTGAACTCTCCGTCGACGACTGCCGTTCCTTGGAAGTCGGGAGCGGGTTGCGCAAGTTTCGGTGCCATTGTGGATTGCTAGAAGAAAAGCAGTTTTGAGAATCGCCAGAAAAAAATCTTCCCTCCCTCATGGGCTCCGGATGACTCGGGAAGAGGTGTCATTCTAACTGAGATTCTCCTAGCGTTCGATCCTGAAACCGCCGTATTAAGTCCTGACTTTTCGAGTCATCGTGTCCATTATGGATGCGTATAGCTCAATAATTCATTGTCCGTCGAATCCTTTCATCAAAGCCGAACGAGAAGAAAGTCCAGCAGAGATCGTGAATCGTGAAGAACGCGTTCGCGTATTGATGCGTGTTATGAGAAATGTATGACCAGCCCATAATTAGGGTCTGGTATAGCAGAACCAAGATTCGTTTTGTCACGGAATTCACGGACGTTCTCCGAGACGAGGTTCTCAGTCAAGCACCCAAGGTAAAGAATTCTAAGGTAGACGCGTGAAACTTGAGATTTTTTCGACCATCACCCGCGTGCGGACAAATTCTCAGCGATGGCAGGTGCGGATCGGGCAGCCTCGTCGCACACACTACAGCGATGGCTGCCGTCGGCGCCATGCTCGACCGTGTGCGTATAATTATGCTCTGGAAACTTCGGAGCTCATGGAGAGGCTGGAAGCCCCTAGATCTGAGGATGGGCACGTTTTCAAAATATTCAGCTCAATGCAGATGGAGGATACTCCTCAGTGGTTCGGTTCCGACAGCAACCTACGCGAAGTCCAAGTGTCCAAGCGGAACCGATAAGCTGCAGCGTCATTGCCCTCGGAGGGAAAAAATCGACGGCGTTTCAAAGGGGACAGCAGTGAGCCTTTCGACAAGCTTTGTCAGTGAGCAGAACCAAGAAACAGGATCATTTTCAGCAAGCGGACGTAGTCGGAGTAGGACACGACGAAGCGCCTCGGAAACGCAAATCACGATGCCGGTCAATTAGAGTAGAAGGTCCGCCCGCAATCTAATCTGGCAACTCGCTAAGAAAAACTGTCACGGGAAACATCACGCATTGCCCATGCCAAGCAAGAGAATCCCGATCCTCCAGTAAAGATTCAGGCATTTTAAAGTGGAGCGAGCTCGCCCAAAGCCGAGGATACGGTGTGCGCGAAGCGCGCGCGGGTCATCGCGAGGTGGCGGACGGCCACCGTAACGCTGAGCCCGTCGTCGGGGACAATCGGCAGAATCCACTGGACTTTTGACACTTGATATTCACAGCTATTGGCGGTGTCGGAAAATCCTCAAAGCACGAGCGAGCTCCAAGAATTTTTTTCATCAAAGCTTGGAGCCTACCAACCTTAAGTTGCGTGTTGACGGTGCTTCAAAGTTCCCTGGACGTGTTTCAGCAAATGCTTGCCGGCGACTGAGAACAGTGGTGCCGAGCGCTGCTGTAGACTTCTTCTTTTTCTTCTCTCATTCAGAACGATTGGACAGTAGCGCCGTGGCTGCTGGCACCGGCTTCAGCGGAACTTTCAAGGTCAATGAACGCGCCTGCGCGTTTTTTTTTTGATGAAGCCCCACCATATAGAGACCAAGCATCCCGGGGGAGCCTATGCTTCTGTGGGTATTCGCGCAGAGCTTCCGATCCGAGGAAGCATTCGATAATCCTCCTAATCTGATTGTGACCAGTAGTCATGCCGGGAGCGCTGGCGCAAATTTCGAAATAAGGCGCGAAAACAGCCACTCATGGCTCCATTATTGGGGAAACGAGTCGGGGTACGAATTGTCGGGCGGAATTTAGTGAATTCTGATTATTGTGGCGCGACTTATCGTTGATTTAAAGCGTGCGCGGACTCCTTCAGCGAGAGAAGTTCGGGAAGCATCCCAAGGTAAGTTCAAGCTCAAGTCAGCGCACCTCTCTAGTAGAACTTGACGCTGCTGTTTGAGGGTCCCGAAAGAGCGGAGAGGAGATCTCCGGAGGCCCTGGAGGAGGGGAGTGGACCTAGATCGAGTCCCTCCGTCGAGCCGTGGTGCTTCATGCCTCACCTTGTCCAATCGACGGGAAGCTGTCATGGCAGAGTCGTCCGGTTGCCGTCCATCGGCCTCGGGGTTCCGCTCGCGTATTCCTACTCCATGAATTTTGTACTCGTGATCACGGACCGAACGAGGGAGTTCCTACTCAGAACTACCATATGGTGAATCTGTTGCTTCTGGCTCTTGCCGCTAGCTCTGGACTCCGCCTCGACTTTGGCTCCTTCCAACTCATCTACAGTGACGACTTCGCTCAGAAGTGAACTCTCACTCGGTGATCCTTCTACCGTCTTCTGTAAGGGAAAGGGAAAGCTATACGGTTCCCTCAGGAAGACTCGAACGCCATAGATCACCGGAAATGAAGATCATCGAGAGAGTAGGATCGCGAATGAACTCACTGTGCTCATGATACGAGGTTTCACTTCGGCGGTCGGTTTCTGCCGTTTACTGTCTCTGTCGGGTTTCTTCTTCATGGGCGGCTTCTTCGTCGAGTTCGATTCTCCTGGATGTTCCAGCCGAGGTGTGTCCTGCTCGAATTTCTAGCTCACGTTCTCCGTAGGATCCGTCTCTGTGGTCTTTTTATCCTGTTTCTCGAAGTATTCCTTCTTCGCCTTGGCATCTGGCTTTATTGTATCCTTGCCCGGCCTCCAGCCAGCGGGACACACTGGAATTATGGAGCAAGATGTTCCTAATGAGCAATCTCAAGACTAGCGGCAACGATTGCGCTCACCAGTGCTGCGCCCCGGTTCTCTCTTCGAGTCGTGACATTTCAAGCTTGGAATCGAGTTTGCGGATTTTGATAGGAAAAATAGTATGATCCGAGAACCCCGAGACACTCACCCTCTCCATGAATATCGGTGAACTGAAAGGCTTGAACCAGACGCAGTGTTTCTTCAACGCTGCGTCCCACCGGCAGATCGTTTATGGTTTTCTGCCTAAGTCTCTGTTGGCGGTCGATGATGAACAGTCCCCTGAAGGCGACTCCTTCATCTTCTTTGAGGACGCCGTACTTCCTCGCTATAATTTTCGTTCCGTCCGAGATGAGGGGGATATCGACGGCGCCAAGACCACCTGAGCACATTACTTGGTTTAGATTCATTTCGGCATACACAATAAGTATAGCTCGCGTCAACTCAGGATTTCCAATCCAGGAACAAGCCTGGTGAGGGGTGGGCTTCCTATCGTCCCCGATGTAGTGACGATCCAGGACAATATAAATCTGTCGGCGCTCTATACGTTTCCGCTTGGAGAGATCAGATGCCAAATAGGACCTCTACGCTCCTCTGAAGTTCAAAGCCTCGAGGAATCCCTCGGAAGCATTATTATCGATCGCAGCTCGGATTATTCAATGGCCTCGGGGCTGAACGACGGATGTTTGCGTGATTCATTAGAAGAAGGAGGCCGCAATTATATTGCAAGCGGTCGGCTACACCCTCAAAGACCGTTCCCTGACAGATGCGTCCGTCGGATGCGTTCATTTTGTTTTGCGAGTGGTTCGGCGCGGTGGTGCTGTTCCACGCCGACTACAGCGGAAAGTCGATAGGAAAGAGAACGTTCGAAACGCGATTATTGAAGGTGCCTGGCAGTTGATTCGCGGCTTAATGCGTGCCTAAGTGTTCAGATGGCAAAGTACCTAATACAGTTGGTCGTGCTCGGTACACAAGCTGTCGGTCGAGCTTTCGCGCGAGCTGTCCGACAGGAGATCCAGGCCAGTCAGCAGGCAGCGGAGAGAATGGGTCACGGCAGGGCTGAACGAGCCGCGTTGAATGCCAAGACCGGAATGAGCCTCGAGGAAGCCCTGCAGATCCTCAACGTGGGCAAAGATCTGAACCCCGAGCAGATCGAGAAGAACTATCAACACTTGTTCGAAGTGAATGACAAAAGCAAAGGAGGAAGCCTCTATCTGCAATCGAAAGTCTACCGTGCGATGGAACGAGTGCGCGAGGAGATCGCCATGAACAAAGAAGCTGAAGGATCTAGAACTAGAACTAGGCGAAGCGAGCAGAATTGACCCCGGAGTAGAGTTTCGGATGTAAAAAGTGATTCCGGAGCTGGCAGCTCTCGCTTGCAATAGATTCTCGCACATCTCGATGACTTGTTACTGATCGACTGTTGTACATATTGCATAGTTTCTTGTAGGCTCAAATAAAGACGATCATCGCTACGATTTAAATCGAATGTGTCGTAAGAATTCGAAAAGAACAGCGGAGTGTGTCGCTGCCCTTCGAAAACTCCCCAATCGCTCTATGGGAGTTTAGTGGTAGCGTGGCATCGGGAGAATTCCCATGAAGTCGGTCGGTCATATCCGCGCGCTTCTTCCTCGAACTCCGCGCATCTACCTATCTAGAATGTTCTTTCTACCTTTGCACACATCTACCTTCAGATGTGTGCTGGGCCTACCTTCTTTCTTCGGGGTGTTCGTGAATGCCAGATGACAGAACTGGGAGTCGCACGAGCACGCCAGGATCTCGCACTCTATCTCTCTGAATTTTTTCGCTGCTTCGGAAAACGCCAGGATCTCAGTCGGACAAACAAACGTGAAGTCCAAGGGGTAGAAGAACAGGACCACATACTTCCCCACGTAGTCGCTGAGCGCGATGGTTTTGAATTCCCCGTCGATGACAGCTGTAGCCTTGAACTGAGGGGCTGGGAACGTGATTCTCGGCGCAGAGAGTCTCGTCACACTGCGAAATCATCAACCGCCAGAATTAGCTCCCGGACAAACGACAAGGGGACTTGAAGGAAAGCGTGCCACGCTCCACGTACTCGTTTCGGAAATCCAGGAGGTCCACGGGCTGCGCCTCCCCGTGATGATCCGCCATCCCCGGAGTTTCTCGTTCGTGCTGCTCTCGAACGAGATCCTGAGCTACTCCGGTCGCCTTCTGGATCTCCCTGAGGATCGCTTCGGTGATCGGCGCCTCTTGCACTTGCGCTGTTGTTTGCTGCTTCTCCGGTTGAGGCAATCCACCTGAAGGAGCTACTCCCGGTTCGGTCCCACCTGGGACTGACGGAGGTTTCTGGAGGCTGTCGCTGCTATCAGCTTTGCCCGTCGACTTCGCCGCGTCTAGTTTCGTGGACTCTATGTCTGTGAAACATTCGTCCGCTCCGGGAAGTCTCTTCTTGCGAGGCAGAGGCTTCAGGTACAATTGCTGCTCGATTATTATGGGCGCCTGCTGGGTGACGCAGGCGGATCCCATCTGTTCCGACGTACGTCGAGACTGCGATCGAGAGCTCCATCCGCGCTTGACCGTTGGAAGGGGTGTGCCTCGAATCGAACCAGGATTGCCGATTGGAACAGCGCCGCGCCGTCAGGCCGGGCATTCCTGGAAAATCGAAGTGTTCACCATGCCCAGGACGAGTACGGAAGCGGTGTCGATTTCTCTCCCAGCGCGAACAAGAAATACGCGCGGGAAGATATTGGCTCCACGATTTCCGCTCCGACTGCCAGAAGCCCCTGGAGGCAGGCACGTCTCCGTCTATTAATTATTGATCTCCGCAACTAAGAATGTCTAGATCGCTTTAGTGACCTCGTCCTTGAGTGCCTTCATTTGGGCTCGACCGATAAATATGCCTCTCATTATCAGTAGCCAATCGATGCTTCTATAGTGAAATGTCGTGCTCTTCCCAGATGGCGTCATCGGAAATTACGTTCTCAGATCTATCCACAAGCGATCCCGTTCAAGACGGGGGGGACGTGCCCCCCTCCGATCACCTGAAATTCTTGATCGAAACGAGAGGAGAACTCGATATTGTGTTGAGCCGGATCCTCGATGGGCGCGGTCACGACGCCTCGACTCCAGCCCGGGTCGCGGCGAAAGTCAAAAGCTGCGTGGATTCTCTCGAGGGGATCACTGATTTGGACACGGAGGACTTCATCGCCACCACTCACGGTCAGTGGAACTCGATCAGGTTTTTCTTCTATCCTTCTTCAATCGCTATATCGATTGGCTCTCGATCGATGGATCGTTCGATTAAAAGGTCATGATCCTTTTTCAGAGTTCTTCAAAGTACTCGCGCTGTACTCGAACTTGGTGGCAGTTTTCGAGAACCAGCCGTCTGAAGACGAAAGTTCACTGAGCGCTCCACTCGATGAGAGCATCGCGCTCGCCAACAGGATAGTGGCTCACGATTTCAAGCTCGAAGTAGACGAACGTTTCAGAGAAATAAGCGAAAGCGTTCTGGAGATTTGTTTCTTGAGACAAAGTCACTCTCTCCGTCATTACGTCGCGCTCATAAAAATACACAATCGACTTCTGGAGAAGATCGACGATGCTCGGGTCGTGAGCAAGGCTCACATCGCCGCGCTGGTCCATAACATGGGCAAGCAAATCAATCATTCGCTCACTTCTGATCAAGATCAAAATTGGAAATTAGTGTTTTTCCTTATCAAGCGAGTGTTTTTCCTGTCGAGCAAGTGCGAATTCATCTCTGCCGATCGAGACTTCATCGGAACGGTCATGAGACTCTATGAGACACGCCTAAGCGATCACCCGCTGAGTAAAGCGATAGAGAACCTTGAACTGAGGCTCCTCGTAGATTTCGAAAGTCTCCAGAGGATCCCGAGGGAAGAACTCGGCATAGGATTTGTACTACTTTGCTGCGAAGTCTGTGAGAACGCCGTCGGGACAGACAGTGAAAAACCGCTGATCAAGTACTGCGTCCGAGAGATATACAATCATGCGTCCGACATCGTCAAGTTCATGTTCTATCGTGTCGGGAACCGTCCCTTGTTTGATTATTGTTTAGGTATCTTATGCAAAAACTTGAGAAATTCTGAGGATCTGATGGTCCTCGATGAACCCGACCCTGCTGGGTGCAGTCACGAGAAACGACTACTCCGTGGTGAAGTTTGCAGATATTTCGACAGGAAGAACAAACGCATCATCGACGAGACCCATATGTTCAGAAAATTCGAGGAGAATCCACGAAGTGAGGAATCGAAAGAGGCTTTGCGGTCGTTTTTCACGAATGCTCTCGAAGGGTCACCGATCAGTTTGGTCGCCACTGAGATCCGAACTAGAATTACGCCTTGCACTCCCAATTCAGCTCTATTGTATTCTTTAGTTTCAACTTCCTCTTCGCGTGATGTCTTTAAGACTATAACGCTGCAGGATGCGGTCGATACAGTGACCGAAGCCGTGGAGATCGTCTGCGCTAATCCGAGCAACGACTGCTTATTCCTCTCGGCGTGCAGTCTCTTCTCCTACATGCGGGATCTCCCTTTGAAAAATATAGAAAACGTCGCCATCCAAGCTCCTGTGGTCAAACTAAGAGATATTGTCTCCCGAATATCGCAGAACGATGTTTGTAACGCATTTGGTGCGATAAGTCTGATTGTATTCACTCTTGGGACGGACCTTCCCAAGTGGTTGAGTTTACACACCCCGATGCACGAGAAATACTTCCGATGGTTCGAAAAAAAAGTCGATCATGATCAGTGGATGAGTACGCTGCTCTTTCTGAGCGGAGACGAAGCCTCGTCGAGACCGGTGAATTCGTATAGTAAACCACCCGACCGAAGTAAACCTCCAATCGAGGCTAAATATTCGAAAGAATCTCAAGTCGGTGAGCTTTACAAAATTGTCGCGAAACTAGAGTCAAGTTCCCAGCGAAAACTGAGCGCCGAAGAAACTCAGATACTGAAGATGTGCATTGAAAAACTTGAGTTCATACTGCAGCGAGCTGGAGGCTCATAAAACACAGCGAATAGGGCGGCTGTGGTCATTCCGTTCAATACTTCGCATTGATAGCAGTTTCTTGGGATGAGGTCAACCGAAGCCCTGTAGTGTATCACGCAGGATGACTGTGATATGTGATATGTAGTCAGGTTTTAATAAACACATGTCTTGTAAGGTTGTTGTGTTTTCTCGAATCTTACACTTATCGGCGAAAATCATGGACTTATGCTTGCCGATGATGAATCATCGGCTACTTGAGCCGCGCGTTCCGATCTCTTTGCAAATGCCGGGTACATGGGGACGCTGTCGCTATCTACCGGAAAGCACCCGCGAGAGGGAAGTGCGCTCTGGCGAGTGAGTTTCGAGCCAGCAGTCAGTTCCGATCTTTCATTAGGCATCGATTCGAACGACTCAAAGGAGTTCCGGCTGATAGCGAGTAGCGAATTGTATCCGTGAATTCCTCTGATAATCGATACCTCCCTATTGATAGAGGTGTACTCCGATCAACATGTGAGAGAGCCACGTGATCGGATTTAGAGGAAAGTTCAACTATTTCTCGGACTTGACAGCTCAGATTTGATCTCTGGACCATGGTCAGTCTCGGGGATTACGATAACTTCTCGGTGAGTCTGCTCAGGGAGCCCCGGGTCTCCGAAGTCGAGCCCTTCCCCGTTAACCAGTCACATAAAAGAGTCGGCACTTCTGCGTTCGAAGGCAGAGTCATATCGGTTCTCTAATCGTCATCGATCAATTCATTCTTCGGCAAAATGCTGAGGTGTATATGCCTTGGCTTCGTGATGTGCTTCAGGCCTTTCTACTGTTGCATGGTAAACCTGGAATACTCTTTCAACTTTCTCTTCGAAAATTTACCCCTCGTCCCGTCCCCATCACGGGTGAAACTCTCTTGCCGGAACGATAGCTTCTGTAAATACCGGCAGACATGAGTCACGCCTGGAGGACTCACGAAACATCGTCGGGATGGACTTCGAATTAATTTTTAGTTCGAGGCAATGTACTTATCGGGAAATACAGCGTTTATTCTGATTCCAGGGCAACATCTCGGAGCAGCTTCTGGAAGCGAACGATGACCGTGCCGCGTCCGAGACCGCCTTGAGCGCGAATCTGGACCTGCCGAATAACAGGGTCCAGACTAGCGCTGTGATCGTGTTTCAAGTGTTCATGATGGTGCGTAGATGTCTCCTACGTGTGCCTGACGTTGGCACCTAAACCCACTGACCCATCCGCCCGAACTCGAGGGTGCGCTGTCCAGCAGCATACTGACCGACCCGTTCCATTTCTTGCAGATCGATCTACTCGTTGCGGCGTTCCTTCTGCCGTATTTCCCAGACATCCCGGTTCCTGTCTTCTCGTTGATCGTGTATCTACATTGCGCCGTTTGGGCTCTCACGTTTATCCTCGACGCCTACCTTCGGAAACAACATGCGCTCCTCTCCTGTTACGGCTTCATTAATTTCTATCAGAAAACAAAGACACTCCGACGGACGTCTTTGAACATTATGAGTTGCGGTAAGCAGTCGCGGTTCATGGATGAGCTGCACCGCTCGTCTGATGAGATTCGTCCATTCCCATGTACAATGGTGGGAGCGACAATCAAAGTATTTCTCTTCGCAGGCTCGATTCTGATGCTGATCATCAGTGTGGTGATCGCCGACTACTGTGCTCAGCGCTCTCAATGCCCGCCGGGCCTGGATAGTAAAGTTTATCTCCAGATGGTTATCGCTCTCGAAACGATTATCCTGCTCCCGGTGTACATTTATTATTTGAGTAAGTTCGATCCATGCCGCTTTCGTTCGAAGTTCTTCCGAGAAGCTTCCTTTCCATTAGACTTGAGATCGTTTCCGTAGATGCGCCCGATCAGTGCTCGCACAAAGCACTAAACCGACATCCTCGATTAAAATTTCTCCTTATCCGCAGAGCTTAATCACGATTTCCACAGTAACAAGGCCCGACCCGATATCGAACCACCGAACTTCATCACGAGCATCATACAAGACCAGAACGGCGTAGAGATCGGATTCCGGTAAGCCAATCTGCAGCCACGATTGGGAGGCGTACAACGGGATCTTGATCTAGACTCGTATTCGTCACCGATGAGCTTCCAGCGATACAGAACTCTATGAGAAAATTAATTTTCTTGTGCTTGTACGATTTCAGCGACAACAACGCTATTGAAGACACTGTGGAGAAACAATCTGACATGATCCGCTATTTGACACAATACAACACGCATCTGAAACAGAAACTCGTTCGACTGAGCCTCGAAGTTCAGAATTCCAGGAGGAATGACCTTGTCGACTACTGAGCTAGAAGCGTGAGAAAGCGCGTTCTTTCCGGCGGTTCGGAGCTTCGGTTCCCCTCCCCCCGAGACTATGGTGCCAAAGTTCAAAAAGATAACGACTGTATACACATAGATTGACGGTCTAGAACGACCAGCGCTGAAACGATTACCTGTCCCACCGTTGCCCGTTGGCACCGAAGGGAAATCTTAATAAAATGAACGAAAGACTTCTTCATGAATCATCATGATCTTCTTTAGATCGATCACTTCCAGTGTACTCGCAGCGTACTGGTTTTCGGTGACATTCACTTATTCACAATATATACATGAAGAGCCGATATCGTCCATCGCAGATATTCCAGCCTCCGACACATCCGAGCGAACCATGATAGCATGGACGGTGGACCGAGGGTTGAGGTCCCGCCATATCGAGAGCAATCACGCTTGATCGTTGCTGCATATCTGCTGTAGGATGACGGGTGCGATTTTGACGTCTCTCTCACCGGTACCGTAGAGATCTGCGTCTCCATCTTCGTCATCATCGTCGATTTCGTCGTCGTAGAAGCGAGCCAGTTTCGAGTCGTTCGCCAACAGATAGATGCCGAACATGCATACACAGTTCACAATGCACGTTATCACCGGCATTCCGTGTAGTAATTTGTTGAGCCGCGAAAGATCGTATATCCAGCAGTTGCCGAACTGATTACAGCTCTGCTCCCAGAAAATGCACGAGTAGTCTATGATGGCGCTGTACGCGAAAGGATACGGTATAAAAGCTGCAAAAGCGAGAGACGTTTCATCATCCTCGTTGACGACTAAGTTCACTAACTGACACTCGGCGATTCGTTGTGGAGTATTCTCAAATAAATTCGCGTGACGTCCGCCTTATGAACCTCCTATGAACTCACCGAAAAGACAACAGACTCCTTCAAAGACTCCGAGAGCGAATGTTTTGTCTTCTTTATCCACGCATCGCATGGGTAGCAGAATGTGAGCGACTTGGAGCAAAAACGCCAAACAATACATCGACGTCAGCGTGATGATGTAGAACATGAATTGTCGAGTGCATTCAGGAGTCTCTTCGTTACATCGCCCCTCGACCGCGAGGAGAGGTTTTTCGAACGGTTTCTCTTTGAGATGATATTTCGCGCATTCACAGTTTTCGTACCGCTGGAATGGAATGCAGATATTTCACGTGAAGGAATGCCAGACGTATCGACATACCCATTCTCTAGTCGTTACGCTCTTCTTCAACGTATGACAACAAGGGTCCGATCCATGAGACTCTTCAATTTCATCGAGAACAAGATACTCACATCGATCGTGGGATCAAGAGCGCTGACTATGCTGCTGTTCGCTCGGCAGCCGGCGAAACAGGGAGAGAAATAGGTGGTAGATCCTATGCACACAGGATGGAAGATGTCGGACGAGCAACTACAGTTGGCGTTACAGCGGGTGAACATGTCGTCCCTCGAGCTTGCTTCCCCAGGTCCTTGTGTGTAGTCCGGCGGCTCGCACGAATAAAGGAGTAGACTCGCGAAGAGCAGCACGGTGACTACTTCACAGATGAACATGAGAAATGTCAACGTTTTCGGTCTTGGTTTGACGTACCTGCAAAGATCGACGCTCGAGTTCCGACCGGGGGATGTTCCTCTCAAAGATTTTTTCTTCCTGTGATAAGGACCTTCTTTCTTCTAGTCCTCGGACTCCGGACCAACATGCGGTGCGGGGACTCACCTCACGAAGACTCCACCGAGGGATGTCGTCAGAAGAGCCACGAGCAGCGGCACCGCGCCCCCGTAGAGGGAAGCGTCAGAAGCCGAAACTCTGAATTGCTCTTGGAGGTACTTCTGCATGTAGTTGAAGTAGCCCATGATGCCAAACCATTTGAAAACCTGACTGCACAGGTGCAGCGTGTAGATGGGGTTCATGATGAGTCGCAGAGTGTTCTGATAGATGTCGCTGACCATGTCTCTGTAGGAGAGCACCTTGTCCTTCAGGCGATTTTTGATTTCCGGAGCTGAAGACGGCCGCAGCTCTGTAGACTCCCCGTCTTCCTCGTCGACGCCTTTAATTTTCGTCTGCTCCTCTCCAAGGCACGATTTTCGTCGGATGCCGGGTCTCCGCATCTTTTTCGGGAAGAGGAGTAGCGGGACCGAGAAGAAAATCATGAAAAACGAAAGAATCGCGAATCCCATCCACCACGCTCCTATCCAACGAGGGTCCTCGTGGTCGTAGTCCGGTGGGTATTCCGGCTCCTCGTACTTCTGCAGACAATACGATGATAGGAGGAAGCCCAGAATCGGTCCGATTCCTCTCATGAAAGCCGTGATCGTCATGTACGTGGGCGCGTGCTTCTTCGAAACGCTGTCGTCAAGGTAAGAAGTCCCAGCGGAATAGTACACCGACGCAACGATGCCGTTCAAGAAGTTCGACGTGAACAAAAGTATAATCGAAGGAACGTTCTCCTGCTTCTTCTCGTTGTAGCACTCGATTCCGACGACGGAGATTTCGTGTTCGTTACAGAAGTCGATATCGTCAGACGTCGGTTCTAGAATCTGATTCGTTTCTTCGTCGAAGTAGTCGTTATCGGGTCCGTAGATAAAATACGGCATCGCTCCGAGCATACTCGAAACTCCCGCCATGACCATGGCGCCCGCAGCCCAGCGAGGTCTGTTACCCTTGGCACTGAGGTATCCGATGAGGGCGCTGAACACTGGGGAAACACGACGTTTTTTTCTTACGCAAAAACATGGGGACTCGTTGCCGAAGACGAGCATTGCCCGAAAATTTTGGCGAATCGTACGCATCCGTGGAAATAGGTACTCATAATAAGCTCGGAGCACTTGGGAAGTGGAACCGAATACTCACGGATTGGACCGAGATTATCCGCCATGTTCACCACCGATCCCGTCGACGAACTAAATGCGAATCTCTTCTCGAGAGTGTTGCTGATTCCGACGAAATACGAATAATAGGCCCCCTGCAAGATGCCGAGAGCCGAGAAAAACACTGTATAAACGATTGGATGCGCGAACTTTTGCATCCATTGCGGATGCCATGATCCGAGACCGCACAGACTTGAGCGGTCCATTCCGTGATTGTTGAGTTGCCTCACTACGATCAACGTCTTGCAGCGGCAAGACTTGCTATCGATGAAGCACCTCTAGTGGCAAGAGGTTATCATGTCTCTCGTTCTTGAATCACTCTCGAAGGATTAGGAGCTTTGTCTTGGAAGTCTTCAACGACAACGCTCCGCTCTTCGAGAAGCATATCGAATGTTTTAGCCTTGACTCTGGCCGATAGATGCAATCCGGCTGCGTTCTGCTGAAATCGACCTCGCTCGGGATTTCAGGAGCCGTCGCCCGGCCCGTGGACTCCGATAATTTCGACAGCCTTGCTCTCTTTCGGTGTCAGAGGTGAGCGGTACACTACGTAGCTCTAGCACGATTCCGTATCGCTATTCCGGAAATTCTTCGTTGTGCCCTCAGGATTCACAGCTGGGTCAAGGGGTCACGCCGCACGCGCCAAGAAGCGCGGGGCTCCTCCCCGGCTGATTGAAACACGGAGACGTCATCGAGTTGGATCCGTCCATCTGAACAAAGCCATCCCCACCGTTCTTGTCGATGGTATCTAATCTCGAGGAGTGCTTCCCGTGACGTCTTTTGACGTCGGTCTGCTGGTTTAGCTGGATCTCTCTCGGATCTTCGCTCGCGCTCTGTAGAAGATGCTGTCACGGGAAGCTCGAAAATGAGCGGCTCAAAGTTGGAAGTATTTCCATCATATGTCAATCATGTAGGAAAGCATTTTCCCCTGTCGTCAAGGATGGCGAGGAAACGTCACGTGCTGGAGAATGACGACGAGAGAGCAACAGCCGTCCTTTGAGCTAGGTGCTTCAAACTGATCTGTTTCCCTCTCTGTTCGACCTCAGCAGAACTCGAGCTCCATAAACCTGTCCCGCTATCCGATGCGCTGCCTCAAACGAGAACCAGCGACAAAATGACCCCCCGTGTGTTGTTTCGTTTCCTTGAGCTCCGCACGGAGTCAACGCAGCCGGAAGAACGCTCAGGGACGCGTCAAGCATCGCCCCAGAGTGATATCGATTTTCCCATTCGAACACTCACTCAGTTGTCGCGCCGGTCCGATACCGATGCTCTCCAGTCCGGTTCCAGCTTGAAGCAGTTCAGATTTTAGGTCTTCTCCGATGGTCTCTCTGTTTCCTCAGGCTACCGGGGTTCTGACGAGACGCTCGGCGCCGTAACTCTCTGAGCATATACCCCTCAGTCGAACCCTCTCTGCATGAACGGAGTCAACCTCGTTCCATAGCGGAACCGAAGCGTCACCTACGTATGCAGAGTCAGCGTCCAGTGTTCGGAACGCCGTGTCCATCGATCTTAATCGCCAACGTCGCACTTATCTCCCGGGTTGGGGTCGAAAATATTGATTAGAAGTACCAGAGACATAATGTTTCTTCCCGATTGTGGAATTCGACGCCGACCAGCATGCTTGGATCTGCGTCGATATCAAGCTCCCAGACCTGATGAGGCGAGAGCCTTGACGAAGCCAAGCGAAAGCCCGCCAAAATATCGGCTGAGAGTGAGCCGGATCCGGCTGTTCTTTCCCGAGAACTCGTTTGAAGCGGAATTCTCTCTGACTCGCCTTGAGTGGTGAAGAATTTTCTCGCTCGCTTATCGTAAATGATGATATTCAAATTTATTTTTCCTCAACGTATACTCCTTTTCGATACAGCGATACGTTTTCGTGTGTGTTCGAATATATACATCTGCTCATGATATATACAATGACTCTGAACTCTCTGGCGTTAATAAATATTTACAGATGAGAAAGTTTTTGGGATAAGGATGAGGTCGGCCCAGGGTCCAACTAGCGAACCCCGAGCCGGATGAGGATGACGAGTGAGGATGAATAATGCATGATCTGATAGATGAACGGTGAGATCATCGGATAGAACTACTCAAATTACAGTAGGTGTCGGAGAAGAATTTACTTCTTGGGGGCGGCCTTCTTCGCTGCAGCGGGCTTCTTGGCGACCTTGGGCTTGGCAGCAGCCTTGGGGGTGGCAGCGGGCTTCTTGGCAGCCGCGGGTTTCTTGGCCTTGGGGGCGGCGGGCTTCTTGATAGAACTCTTGGGGGCGGCGGCGGCCTTGTCGGCAACGCGGAAGGATCCGGACGCACCGGTTCCCTTGACCTGCTTGAGGGCTCCCGAGGTGACGCCACGCTTCAGAGCCAATCGGAGGTGGGCGGAGATGGCCTTCTCGTCCTTGCCGACGTTGAAGTTGGCGGCGATGTACTTCTGGATGGCCTGGCGGGAGGAACCGTTGCGTTCCTTGAGGGTAGTGATAGCCTTGGCGATCATCTCATTGTACTTGGGGTGGCTCGAGGGCTTCTTGGGGGCCTTGGGGCCGGCGGGCTTCTTGGGGGCAGCCTTCTTGGTGGTAGCCTTCTTTTCGGGGGTGGCAACAGCCGGGGCGGGGGCAGCGTCTTCAGACATACTGACTTTCGTGAGGTTAGCGAGAAGCTGAGAGAGAACGAGGTGCACTTGTTGACCGCTGGGAGCGAACTGAGCCGCAAGCTCGTTTGGCGCCCGATGTGAGTGTTTCCGAGGCACCTCGGCGTGCTGTGCCGGGCCCAGACAGAAGCGCCACCGCTGACTGGCGCGGTCGTCAGCTCTAGTTTGTGTCTCCGTTCGTCTTTCAACCCAATTTTCTGAGTATCTTGATGGAAATACATGAGCTAGGATATCCTCTCGCGATAGGGCAAGGATTCAACTTACGCACCGGAAAAAACCGGCTCGATCGGATCAGCGGTTGACCGCAAGGGTGCGGACATTGTTTGAAGAGCGCTATTTCAGGGAAAAAAGTTTGATGTTTATGGCTGAATTCATTGATTCTATGAAGCATTTTGCTGCGGATTCTTTTTGCATCCCATGCAGAATTTATCAGCTCGTCTTCCACAGTAGACACGATCGACATCGGTTACTCCGAACGCGAGTTATTTCCGAATTTCCAGAGCCTGGTGCACTCGTTTCGCGGCTGTGTTAGACTACCATAGGCCAAATTAAAGTGTGAATTTGATTGGTTTCGGGGAGTTTCCCATCGGGAATTTCATGTGCAATGAACTCTAAGGAAATCATCTAAATGTTTCGCCAAGTGCCATCGAAATCCGTCGCGTGGTTCTCGAGAAATTGCGAAAAAACCCTGTCGGCGCAGTGGCTTCGGGAAGCCTGTATGCGACAGCGTCAACTCGCCATGGCGTCACTCGGGCCGCTGAACATACCATGGAAATTACCTAAAAATTCCTGCAAATTTCGTGCATTTGATTCGTTAACAAGGTTGTCTTCGACCCATACTCCGATCGTGGCAAGTTTCCACATAATTTTACAGGAGGAACTCGCAGTAATTAAACCTGCTCAGCCAGAGCTACGGGCTGTGGCAGCGCCCGTAGTGAGGGTCGCCTGGACGCTCCGACTGCGTTCGTCAGTCATCTTAAATACTTTTCCAACGATTGGGATTCGCTGGAACCCTGGGAAACTTCAATATTTCTCCCTTTCCCATACGGAGGGGAAAATCTTCCGAGGGAATTTTCAGGACTAGCTCTCTGACACGTTGCGGCAGGCTGATTCATGACGCTTGCGTCGCGTCGGCGCTTCAATAGAGTGCTCCCAGCCTATAAACAGAGGCATACATCGCGCTTCAAGACACAGTTTGACCAATCGCGATGACACTCCGCGTATTTTTCGGAGGATGAGGAGTTCGCGCTTCCATTCAGAGCCTCGTAGCTTCGCTCAGGATTCGGACGAGAAGTCTGCGTTTCCATCGCTTCTGATGCGATGCCTGTGATCCGACTCGGCGGAGTCCCGAGATAAGGGGGATTCCCGGCTGGTGGGAATTCTCCCGAAAGGGAGAAGTCCTCTTCCAAAGATGAGAATCTGTCTGTGGGTGCGCTCTTCCCTTGTGCATTTCCCGTGTGGTGTGTTCACCTGCGGATATACGATCCGACCAGGCGGACGCTGTGATGCTGTCGCCTATCGGCACCCGTCCTCGAAGGTAGAAGAAGATGGCAGAAGAACAGCAGATCTCTGGAGAGATTTCCTGTCACGAGAGTCGCGGTCCGTGTTCTCTATCACAGCCGAACGAAGTTCTTGGAACATAGGAACTATTGAGAGGCATTCGAGAGGTACTCAGTCGGTGCGTTCCAACCGAGGTGGTCCCGTGTCCCAACGTGCGGAAGTTCGGTAAGCAATGGCAGGATTTCGGTTCAGTGGAACCCCGATATGGGAGCGCGAATCACAACGGCACCAGTCCGGCTCTAGATGTCTCCCACGAGGAATGGGAGCGATTTATTTACAAACCTAGCTGTACAATGAAGTCGGTGACAGAATTATCGATTCTTTGTGATGCGTTCTTCGCTCACGGGAGCAGCAACGCTGGCGCCGGCGCCACGTCGGCACCAGCGAGTGCGTCGTTCTCGGGTTTTGTGTTCGCCGCGTCGTGAACGAGTTTCATGGATTCTCTTCAACCCACTCAGAGGGTTTGTGTTATGACCACAGAGCTCCTTGTGCTGGCTCCGTCTCCGAGCCAAGGTTGATCCTGTGACCAGTCCGGGTAGGACGACGGCAGGCAATATGAAGCTGGTCTACTTATGATGAGCTCGATCGTATCACCCGAGGCGGCCACCAAGGGAACCGCTGTACAGCATTCCATGTTATGAGTCTTGTGGTCGTTAATCTGAAAAGTAATTCGAAGTTCACTCCTCGCTGCCGTCCCGACTAGAGCTCGGTGCACTGAGATTACGAGATCGCGATGATGAGCGCGAATCAAGAGCCGCTTCACCGCCTGCTGCTGCTCCTCCTCATCCTCATCGAATCGAATTGTTTTCTGCGCCTCGAAATCTTGCGGTCTGAGGTTCGGGACAGAGGATCGGCGAGTGAGTCAGCTGAAGCGGCTCGGATCTTCGGCGTTAGAGACTCACCTGCAGTATACGGTCGAAGGGTCTGAGAAGACCGCACATGTCAGCAGGTCCCTTGGGTCGGATGCGATTGACGTAGATACCTCTTTCGAAGAGGCCGTCTGAGATCGAGAAACCGAAGTCGTCGTATATTTTGTCCTTGAACAATGTCACGCGGTGCACTTCCACTGGAACCGGCATCGGTGGCGGGATATCCTGAAGAAAATGCGCTCGTCAGGAGCGCTCTGCGACCTCATCCGATCCGTATGCGGTTCTGCCACCTACCTGTAGCCCGAAGCCGGGAAGCATTTTCGGTGGCTCGGGATACGAAGGAGTCGTTGAAGAAGTTCCGCCCTGACTGCTTCCACCCGAAGGCGCAAGATCGATGAAAGACGAGATCTCCTCTTGGAATTGGGATTGGAATCCGAAGAGGTCGTCGAATCTCGACGAGTTCGACGCGGGCGAGGGGCTTTTGTTTTGCGGTGTCCCCGACGGAATGCCCAACGAGCCGCCGATGGCCGCGGATGGCGACGATGACAAAGTTCCACTCAATTCATTTTCTGCCATCTGTAGATTCCTCTCGATTTGCCTGAATAGTCGCGACTGACCACAAGTTTGAAGATCTTCGAGGACTTTCATCCAATCCGAGGAATCGACGTCGGAGTTCACGGAGCGGCCGCCGGGATTGTGGGTGTAGGCCGGTGGGTTGTAACTGAAGCCGGAGGGTCCCGCGATCTCCGGAGGACTCGCGGTCATCGATGCTGAATTCGCTGTGAAGGTTCCGAGAGAAGTGATTAGAGATTCGGTGCGACATTGTCGGAAAGAGAATATACGTACGGGTTTCGGCATTTCATCAAATTCAATTACCGATATTGATCCCTCCAGCACTTCCGGAGCGTGACGGCGCTTTCGTTGGTGACGATTGTTGACCCAACAGCTGGAGACTGTTCAGAGAGGATGAAGTTTCTCTACTTTCTTTGGGCGGGAGAGGCGGCAGCGGTGAAGGTGGAGATTTCAAGTTGCCGCAAGGTCTCCGATCGATCCAATCCATCGCATCCCAACGACTCGGTGCGGACTTCGCCAGCTCTTGACAGGAAGGTGGTAGACCGGCCTGCCATTCCCTGATGGAGCTCCAAGCGTCTTCCGAATGATCCAGATCTGTGGAAGTCGAAACTTGGACAATTTCCGACGTTGTATGCTGGACCGTATTCTAAAGAGGACGATATCTTGGAATGACGTCGTACCCGCAGGAGGCTGCACTGCTGGCACTATGGGAGCTGGGCTCAGGGGCGGGGGCTGGTTGGCGAAGCTGGAGTTTCCAAATTCGCCAACGAGTCCCAGCTCTCCACGGCACTGTCCACGCTGGGTATCGGTGTTCCTGCGTAGAGTCGTTGGATATAGTGTCTGGGTTCCATTCGCGGAGATTGAGATGGCGGCGGACGTGACGACATGGAGGAAGCAGCCGACGGAAGTGGACTCGACATTTTGTCTAGGTCATCGAACGCTGCAGAAAATGTTCGTTAGAACTAGAGTCGTCTCTGAGGAAACAATAAATTCCTGTGTTGATAAAATACCGAATGTGAGAAGGTGGATATTCACCTAATCGGCCGTATTTGCACTTGGAAAGTTTCAGCGTCGCAACATCGCCCGAGTTTTGCAAAAGCATGATCGCGTCGTTCAACGTTTTTCCTTTCAGACTCGTCCCGCTGATGGCGAGGATCCGATCGCCGACGTGGAGGGCTCCAGTCCTGAAGTTCCGGAATTTTCAAATTCAATTTTCAATTTTCAATTCAATTTTGAATATTTCTGCTGAATATTTCTGAGATTGCGCTCGAAACCGCAGTGCGTGGCCGCACGAGACGATTCTGCTCGCGCTGCATCTCGAGTAATGGCATGCATTCGGAGCGCACGGATACGTACCTCTCAGCTAATCCTCCCTTCGTCAGTCCGGAGATAATGATGGGATCGTATGGCTCCTCGGTTCCTGATATTGTGATGCCGAGCGGTCCTCCGTTTCGAGCTACTTCGACCGTGTACACGACGGCATCGGTCTCGTCGGGGAAATCTGGAGCGGAAATATCCCTTGCAGGATCGAGTCGAGTTCCTTCCTTCTCCGAATCCTCCCTCTGACAAAATCTATTGTAGGCGAGCTCCTTTGAGCTCGTAGTATAGCGACGTTCGAGCCATTGAGTTTCTCTCACGTACCATTGAAGTGTTCGTCCTTACGGATACGAAGCTGCACGACGCCCTGGCTGTTCTGGAGAATTTTCGCTGCCTCCTCTATGGAGGCGTTCTCCATCCGAAACTGATCGATAGCAAGTAGCTTGTCACCTCTCTGCAGGGTCCCCGATCTGTGAGCAATGCTCCCTCGCCGAACGTCCGATATTATCAAAGGCTCGCCGGAGCTCCTATCGCGGGGTGCTGTGGACATGAAGAGCGCTTTCAGAATAGCGTCAGCCCGGCTTGGTTTCACCCTTATCGTATTCAGAAGAAACTATGTATATTTGGAATATGTAGATACTACCTATTTCTACTTATAGGAAGATACTACGTCTTTCTACGTTTAGGTAGATACGACGGATTACGAAGATGATAAATATTGGATTCAACAAAATCCATTATCAGTACAATAATAATCACATTACATACGATCGATACTATAGATGGGAATAGTGGGTATATTTGTCCGGGGTCACTAACCGGTGATCGTTATTCCTAATCCGGGTCCCTTCTTCTCGAGTTTCACAGTGAAAGTTCCGCTGGAAGCGATGACGGACTCGACGACATCGAATTCTATCTGCAAAGTTACTCTCGGTCGACTTTTGAGCAGGAAGCGGTTCAGATCGTCCGTGGTGAGAGATTCGACTCGTTGATGGTTTATTGCTAACACTCGATCCCCGACTTGGATGACGCCCGACCTGGAATTTCGCCTGATAATTCCTCCTGTGTTCTCTTGCTCGTATAGGGATGATACACACGAACGATGGGAGGTCGAGAATGTTCGTGGGAAGGAATCGCTAAGGAGCGAAGAGATCCGCGATTCGTACCTGTCGGCAGCTCCACCCGGAACGATGCATTCCACGAAGGCAACCCGGTCTTTGCTTCGGAGAGTCAGTCCGTATCCTCCTTTCTGGGGCTCGGTAACCAAAGTTATCTCGATACCTTCCACATGACTTATGACATGTTGTGATCGAGTTCGATGGAGTTCATAACCCGGAGGGACGAATACGGTGCTTGTGGGAAGAAATCAATATTCTGTCACGCACTTCTCTCGCATCCGACTCGTCAAAGGGATCTCGAGACTGTGAATCGGCTCTTTTCTCCTGATTCTTACTCTCAACCAGTTTCGTCTGCCTTACCTATCACCCGAAGAATCATGACTGGGACGCCGTCGTTGACCCGAGCTAGACACGCTCGGTAAATGATCGGAGTGATGTCGTCGGAGACTGTATTGCCTTTTTGGCGTGACGTTCGTATGATGAGGGGGAATAGGCGGTAGAGGATAGTTGGAAGACGACGTACTTTGGCCTCCGATGGACGACAAGGTATTATAGCTTCCGGAAGTTTTGATTTGCTGCTGCTCCGCGTATTGTCGAAGGAGTTGTCCGGCTGGGAGTATTTCCAGACGTAGAACGCTGTCGGTGCCTTCCTGGAGCATCCGTTGCGCCTCGGCCGCCGACGCGCAGGCCAGATCCAGACGTACACCGTCGATGGCCAGAATCTGATCCCCGACGTGTAAGGCCCCGCAGCGTTCAGCGACACTCGCCTGCCGGATACTCTCGATAACAATACCTCTGCCGGCATTGTCTAATTGCGTGAGCGTTGCCCCCAACCTTGTGACTCCAGTGTGCAATCGATCGATTTCAACTAGAACGGGCCCCGACGCGTTCCGGACCGCATCCATAACCGAAACGTCATACTCAATGGTGAGCAGAGCCTGTTTCTCGATTTGCTTGAGCACCGTTTTCGCTTCGTAGAGGGTGGCCCCCGTCAAATGCACGTTGTCCACAGCTATGAGGCGATCGCCTGGCTACAAAGTTTGAAGTCGTGTTTGATCAGCGGGCTCGGGAAAGGTTTATGGGGAAAAAAGCCCGACAGAACACCGTACATCAAAAGTCGACACCGAACCAGCGAGTGAACGTGCGTGCGGAAAACCTTCTTCCCTCCTACCTTAATGGTTCCCTCTCTGTCAGTGGGGCCTTCGGGTCTAACGAAAACGATCGTCAAAGGTCGAGACTTTAGATTGTCGACGCACGAACCTCCGCGTAGCAGGAATCCGAAGGAGCCGTGGACATCTTTTTCAAGCTTGATCTGGATGACTTTTGGACAAACGGAAAGGCTCCCGTCCAAGACGCTGACCGCTGTAATCGGGGTGGAAGGCTCGGTGTTTCCGATGATTCTGACTGTCAGACTTTCTACTCAAAACATGATCGTCAGGGCAAGGCTTCATCCGCCCCACACAGATGGAAAGGTACGGGGGTGCACACACGGCTAAAAACGCATTCGGTCGTTTCAACATGGGCAGTTATTTCCTGAATGCCTCCATTCGCCGCCATTCCTCTCGATTGAATCATTCCCTACATGCCTCCTGCTCAACCAACATCCTTGCCCTCGCCCCTCTTCGTCCTGAGGAGAGATCGAAGCTTCGTTTCTGAGATAGGAATGCCATCCATGCCCATGCGTTCATTTTATGTATGTGGGTCGTGATCCCTATCTTTTGAGAGGAGCGAGAGGAGCACGTTCAGGAACCTCATCTCGACTAACAAATGCAGTCCGTACCTTCAGACTACATAAGGTCGAGAGTTCCGGATTCCAAAAAGCGTCGTGGGAATTCTCATTAACGTGTCGTTTCCCTCTCAATGCTCTGTCCGCGAGAGAAAGAATCTGTCGCTCTGAGAGAGGCGCCGAGGCTTTCACTCAATCAGACACGGAGTGATGATTCACGAACGTCCCTTCCTGTCCTCCCGCCGTGCTTGACATAATTCATCGTCGCCACCCTGGCATCGCTGTGTGTGTTTAAATGCGATCCATGTTCGATACCATTACAGAGTGAGTGGTCGTCTGTCTAGGGTGGAAGGCGGCGGCGGCCACCAGCGCTGCCGCCGTTCCATCCGTCGGTCGTCCCGAACCGGTCGTCTGTGGCCGGCTTCCCCGCTCTGCCAGGGATGCCGGGGTGAAGAGAGATTTCCAGAGCACGCTAGCACAAACATCACATGATAGACGGATTCGGTAAGGGCACGACGAGTCTGTGTGTCTGTCTCGTCTCCGCTGAGCGAACGGGCGGGAGGGTTTGTCGTAGAAGACTGTAGTCTCTCTGCAGCCGCGCGGAGAACATATCTAGAAATATCTCGCTGCTGGAAACACAACAAGATGTCGGATTTCCAAGAGCCACTCGGAGCGGGTGATTTGTTATTTCTGTTTTTATTCGGTTAGTTGCAAACACGACACAGACGACGACGACTATGAGCAGGCGGGCGGGCAGGCAAGCAATCGGCAAAGGTGTTACAGGAATAGCAGCGGCTGTTTATTGAATCACGTTATTATATCACAGGACGATCAAGAGGAAAGTCTTATTGGAAATCGTTGTCTTCCGAGGGGAGTTTTGCTTCTCTGGGAGGAACAACACACTGCTGATGCTTCGGCGGAATTTCTCTCAGGTGACTTCTATGGGACCAGGTGCGAATGGGATCTCAGCCTGAGTCGGCGAAGTGTTCTCAACGGCCTTAGTAGCTTTGGGATTCAACACTCTGTATACGACAAAAGCCGGCCTCGGTGTGCCTAGAAAAGGGAAGGTCCCTCAGTCCACAGCGATGGAGCCAAAGGACCCGGGGGCCAGCTCACATGGGGGTCAATCGTTAATCGTTCCCAGATAACAATTCCATGATCCCGAACAAATTAGTTCCTCAAGTCCAGAGAACACTCAGGCAATCGTTGCGGCAATCGCTGTCTGTGCCGATGCTTCCCCAGCCTCAGAAACGGCACCGTTCTTCTCTTTCCCACCACAAGCATCACGGCAACCGTCCGCCCCGGAATCGGGAAAATTCAGCAAATTCGTACTCACGTGCCGGAGGAATTTCGTATTCGATGTCCAGCACCACTTTGAACTTGGCGCTTTCCAAGAGGCTCGTGACATCATCGGCGCGCATTCCTCGGGTCGAGATGCCGTTTACGCTGGTGACCACGTCCCCGGGAGACAGCATATCCGAGCGGTGGGCCAAGGAGCCTGGATGAAGGTGAGCGATCCTGGGGCAGATCCCACCACCGCGGAGAACGACCCCCCATGATTCCGCTTCGTTCGCACGTTGTAGCTCCACGACCGAGTGGGCCCTTTTATCTTCTGTGTAAACAACATATATGAGCCGTTGAGAGGACAGGCAATCAAGGTCTCATTAGTTCGAAAAACGAGACCGACATGGCGATCGAGTACCTAGATCTCGGAATTTCGGAAAAGGGCGCTTCCGAGCCCTGAAAGCCTGATTCAGAATCTTCTCGGATCGCTCGACTTTTTCTCAATCAGAGAAGCCATGCGATGCATTTCAAAACGATTCTTTAGGACAGAAGTTTTACACGGTGGGTCTGGAGACATGCCCATGACTGCACTGTGATCTCTGAATCTCGGGAGGCCCTGGCTTCCAAAGTAGGAAAAAAAAAAACTTCACCACATCCGAGATGGATCTGCTTCTTTCATTAGACGATTAGACAGTGCCAGCGAAAAGCTGAGTCGGCGAGTAAATGTCGTCACTTTAATGCAGTATGTACCTGGAACGTCGGATTTCTTCGGAGCATCGTCTCGGAAGTGTGCCGTGAATGGCGGAGACGAGTCTCGGTTCCTCCTCACACCGGTATCATCTGAAATGTTGTTCCACTATGAGAATGTCGTTACTTTTCTCTGTGTAATATCATGCGGGATCCTAGACCGAACTTCAAGAATATCGTACGAATAGCCTAGAGTTGTTCATGTGGCGTCCGAGCCGAACCTCGATATCATTGAATTTATCAGCCTACGTGTAAGAGAGCAGGGCATCGATTAGATCGGTCGATCAAAGGGTCTCAGCGGGCGTGAGACAATAGGGTCCCGGAATTCCGAGGAAACGAGCTGTCGGTCATCCCTTGTGATCCACTCCCTCCTATGAAGATACACGGTTCGCTGCACCTTGACGGACTAAACGTTCTTTTTAGCGATGCAAGCCGGAATGTAGGTGTTGAGGGTGGAGCACACAGCTACCCGGTTCAGAGTTCATATTGCGATGGCAACAACATATTTAGCTCGGCAGCCTCGACGGCTGTGTGAGAGATATCCCACGAGCAAATTTTTCTGAGACATTCCAGTGCTGGAAAATGAGACCTCGTCTTGGGTGGAAATCGATAAAGCCGCTTGCTGGATTCATTGCGTGTTTTTTTCTAATAATTGCTCGAGGCAGCGCGACGTGCAGAAACGTGTGTTGCCTAGGCGCAACATCTGCAATTCTGCATGCTCTGCAAGCTGCGCCTCTCGATACACAAGTTCCTCATAAAAATTGAGAGGCAGATGGTGTTCCGAATCGAAGCAGGCCGAGCCGTGTGAGTGAGCAGACGGATAGGCGAGCGAGGCTGCGAGCGGGTGGACAGATCGGCGGTCCAAAGACTGTCTGACTGCGAGTGAGAACCGACGGAGAGACGAAAGCAGTCGAATGCGCGCCAATAGTCAGTCAGTCAGTGAGTGAACGCAGTTTCCTAAAGGAGAAGGCTGCGTCCTCACACATATTCTCCGTTGACCCTAGATTCGAGAAGGCGGTCATCGAACCGCTTCGACATCATGAAGACATATTACAGAGCGGTCAAAGGGCAAATAAACACCCTAATCGCCGAATTCTGCCCACTGCACTAACGCTCGTCCTAAATATCAGTTTGTCCTGTTTTTCGAAGGAAGAGTTCCCTAGTCTTCGCTCGGTGTCGGTCAGCGATCGAATTCACCGCGAATTCCGAGAGCGATTGCTCATTCGGCATCGATTCGGCTCATTCGCGTGGAGCGTGCCCGGAGCGTACGGCGCGGATATTTCACCGAGAAGAAAACCTTGTCCTTCTGGACGGATCGCGAAATATTTGATTGGGCATCTCTTCAAGACAATAGGATGGGAGAGTTTGTACTATTTGTGCCGAGAGCATGGTAGATTACAGGAGGGCAACCCTGTTCGCAGCACATCGAAACCAGCTCACTTTCGGTGTGTGGCATGGTGCAGCTGCCCCCATCAGTCAACCAAGCGGAGCGGAGCCGAGTCACAAATGCGGCTAGTTCCTATATTGAGATCGGGTTATTCTGGCTTCCCTCTACTGGCAGCGATTCTAAGGAGGTGAGTTCGCTCTCAGATCAAATGTTGCCTCGGCCTGAAACCATGCCGGCGCGTCGTGATTCCGAGCGGGAATATACGTATTTATGTTCACACTCCGCGGTTTCGGGAAAGGAGCAGCTAAATCAGCCGAACCCAAGGGGAGAAGTTCGAGACCTCGATTGTTGAGATGTCATCAGAACCATCTCATCCGACTCGTTCTCATCGGAGTATTGCGGTCCCCATCGTCACAACGGAAGGTTTCCATCATTTTCCTCAGTTATTCCAGTTCCGCGCACAACGGCAGTATGAAGCTGTGACTCCCAACTTTGTCAGGCCTCCGAGCTCCAGCTTTGGAGGCGATGATTATTGCCGAGAGGAGTAGCTAGGAAACGCGATGCGAGGAGTAGCGAAGATCGATACATGGGCCAGAATAGATTCGGAGACCTCATGTCATCCTCTCTCCGTTGCCGCGGAATACCGCGGGACTTCCCGGTCTTTGGTCTGATTGTGGATTGAGACGGCTCGGATTCGCATCCGGATGAAGACGGCTCATATGCTTGACCGCTTCAAAAAACCAAGTAACGTCCGGAAAATGGCACTCCAGAGTGTCATATCGCCGCAAGGGCAGCAATACGCGCCTACTTGAAGCGTTAGGGACACCGGCGCCCCGCTGTTCATGACAGAAGAGAATTTCCTTGTCCTGCTTCCTCCCGGGGACTACTCCCGCGTAAAATCAATGCAGACGCATCCTTGAGATCTGATGATTACTATAACATACGGGACTTCCGAGTGCGGTCCGTGAGAGGGCAACCCTTCCTGACCGCTCCTTCATCGGAGACGTAGTCTGTTCGATGAAGACGAGCTCAAAGCGCCATGAAACTCCCACGCTATTCCTAATCCCATGGATCCATCGAGAACGACCCGTCCGTCAAACAAGAAACTCGTCTATAACAGTTATTCAGAACTCTCCAGGACCGGATCGGCAAGCTTGGGGGGTGGTCGTTGCGCGCCCAAACCTCCATCTTCCATTTACTCTTACGCTTAGCGGTCGGATGATATTTTCTGGCGCAGCGGGATGCCTCGGCGAAGAGCAAAAGACTTTCCTCGCACCCGCTTTCGATCATGTTGCTTAGGTTCGCCTCTAAATTTGCGTTCAAGCCCCACCCGCGTCCCGGAAATAGCTAAAAATGATCAGTGAAAGTCTCCGAAATTCAAGGGACGTTGCCTCCAGAGCGAGGTCATGGCACGTAGAGCTGCTCGGGATCAAGGCCAAGCTACTCACTCATCAGATGTCTTACCGATTTCCGGCGTCACTGGGACACCTGGGTTCGATTTCCGAGGGAGGAAAATTCTTTTCAGAAAGCCCATCCTCTCGTCTCACATTTGATGGACAGAGCACTGGACCGAACGATGGGTCAAACAAATTCCCGGCGCAGTTTCGGCTGAACGTTAGAGCGACCATGTATCGGGCCTACTCTGGTGAAGCGCGCAGAGTTCCTGTACACTTTCCGCACGGACGCAATTGACGCAGCTGCGGATGGGCGAGAGTGGGCGTTGATCAGTGACCAACAAATTAGTTTTCACGAATGGCTAGGCCACTCTAGACGTTCCTCCTTCGTCGACGCTCGTTGTGTCGTACGAACAATAGTCACTCTTGTCTAGGGGAGCCGGATCGTTTTGCCGCCGAGATCGCGCATGTGGTCACCAGCGGTAGTCTCCATGCCGGCGGAGGGTAGTGGTAAGGGACGAGAAGCTAGATATAGAGAAGGGAGAGCACCCTCGAGAGAGTAAGGGAACATTCGACTATAATAGTAAATCTGACAGATTTCTCCCCCCGCGCATGGTTCCGCGACGAACCTGGTGACAAGCTCATGCGGAGGCGACGCAAGTCACGTATACGCGTGGCAGATTTCTCGATAACGGAGTCGCATCTCGACTGCGGTCAGACAACTTAATGATTTGCCAGATCTAACATTTCGATACATCTGGATCTGACCCTTTCTTGTACGCATCGATCTTTCGACTAGGGCGCGACTGAGCTCCGCGATTCCAGTGTCTCAACGCTTCCATTTTTCAAGGAGTCGCTTCGATTACTCTTCAGCAGAGCGATTCAACTGGGTGGTCGAACCCAGTTCGATCGCGAGATCGGCTGTCGTGGGTTAGCAGTCATCGCCATCGAGGATAATCTGCTCTAATGTTCTGGATTACACGCCGAACTTATTGAGGGTCCCTGGGGAAGGGCAATCAATTGACTCTGATTATATTATGTATACACGGCACTCCTCTTCTCGAACTCAATCGGTTTGAGGCCGTTGCGAAAACACGATGATCTCGAGGGCGAAAGACGAGTCTCGTAGGACACTATCCGCTCGGATGGAGCTCCCATCAAGCGTCGATGCTGCCCATACCGTGACAGACCGTTTAGCTGCACGTTTCCATTTTCCGCCGACATCGGTCGTGGCATCTGCAATGCCGTCGCTGTGTCGTGCTCACATGGGCGCCATGACAAGTGCCCCATGATCTCATAGGTTGTTTTCAGTCATGAGCGACCGCACGCCGCGCAGCCCATCGAGATGACGCATAGTACACACCCTCCGACCGTCGCTGTACGGAGTCCGCCCGAGGTCATTCCGCGAATACACAGCGATCTCTATCGGGGAGCTTCAGTGACTTAATTAGCACCCAAGGCGCATCGTTTTGATCCGACAGTGACCGTGAAAATGGAGCACAGATGACTCCATTGCGAGTGTGCTGAAAGCTGGCGGGCGGGTGAGAAATCACGAAAGACGCTCCTTTCGTTCATCGCGGTCGCGATCGTCCGCAGACGGATTCGATTCCGATTCGGATGCCGACCCGAGGATTAATCGGAAGTCGGTGTCTGTCGAGTATTCCATTTCGGATAAAAATGAAGAGAACATCGGTCTCGGGGATCCCCGATAATTGTTTCGGATGATCTGAGTGGAACTACGAGGAGTTCTAGGTGCCCACAGTGTTAGCCGATATAGTTCAATTCGGTTAGCTCGTGATATTAAGGCGAGCCAAGACTCAGCCCGTGATCGCAGCAATTCAATCGGAGCCACACAGCGAGCCATGGTGGTCACAGCTTTTGGCGCCAAAAATAGTGACGCTTCCGCGCCCAAGCGGAGCCTTCCACATATCCTGGTGTCGGAGCCTGACGATCGCCGAGCTTATCTCAATTTTATACCTAGAAGATTTCGGGTAATTATTTCATTCGCGGACGTCCACTTTCTCCTCTCTCTGCAATTCCCCAAGTTTTCAGAATACTCCACTAGAAGGATAGATGAGAAAACATCACATCATTTTCGAAATTTGCCGTGAATGGGAAAGCGATCGCCAGAGCTCCGCACGATTTGAACCGCGAGGAGAGCTTCGGATCGTAGAAGAGCATGGCAATGCGATTCACGGAAAATCGAATTGTAAGCGAGCGGAACCGTTCAGTCCCCGAGATTCTTCCGATCGAAAATCGACCCAGGATCACGCGGTTCGTAGAGAGCACAGATTTACGGACAGCGGAATAAAAATATCTTGACCACCAGATGAAACACGATTATCAAAGCAATAACTCGGAGACGCGACCGATGAAAAGGCAGGAACTTTGTATGAGACTTCGCAGCAAGTCGCAAGCTCAGTTCCGGGCAGCAGCGTCTCCTCGGGAACCTAGGATCCCACTCCTTTCCGGAGACCCTGAACGCATGAATCAGTCGATAACAAAGGCAGCTACCTAGTTGGAATTCGATGAGCCAGAATCGTTGATAATCCTATGATGATTGACTCGGTATGATTCTGAGAGCTTCCTCACTCTCTTCCCTGTAGCCGGCATCCGATTTTTTTTTACCCGACGAAATGTTGCGGTTGATTTCCCAGCCGGCGTTTTGAACAGATTTTTCGTCGCTTCGACAATTCCGCTCCGAGGGCCTACAAAAGTCTCGTTCAGATACTGGAAGTCCGAGGACCTAGTCATCGTGAACCTCCTGCCCAGAAAACTGGCATCGAGTCTCACTGCGCCGCCTAGGGAATTCCTCCCAGAAATCGTTAGCAAATCCGTGGTCGCTGGCGTAGAATGAATTCTTCGAATATCGGAGATTGCACAATGACCTCCGCAGATCGGATATTGACTTGCAATACTTCCGACGGGGCAAAGCGCGGGAATCCTCATTAAGATGCGATACGGTATTTACTAGGCAGGTAAGCTCTGAGGCTGGTAAGGCCTTCCAACTGGTCTCACCATTTCTGTGACTCGAGCGAAACGAGATCGAGTCTTCGATTCTTGCGCGTTCTCATGCAACTGAAGCTCGACTGGGAACGCCGAGTCCACTGCGCAGAGAATATCATCGTGGCTTCGCCCGCGGCTCGAGCAGCGCCGAGCGATGCTGCGCATACCGACCAGAGCGGCGTTCACGAACCAAATCTTTCATTCTCTGTATATTCTCAATCGAAGTTCGAAAGTTGAAAGAAATCAATTTTCTCTATAGCCACGGGTCATTCCGGAGCAGTCTTTCGACTCGTTCCCGGTCACGTGCTGGCGATTTGTCATCGGAACTCTGCGAGCTTCTCGACTCCGATACCTATTCAAGTAATCAGAAACATTGATGGCGACTCTCTCGTTCCGAGGAGACCTTCTATGAACTTACGGGATCTACTCCTCCGAGGCCGTTGGAGACACCCTCCGCTCCACGGCATTCTACGGCTGCTCGAGCAGAGAGAACAAGAGAAGCACTCCACGTTAAGGCCCGCTATGGGACAACTCCACTGATATGAAGGTACCCTCACTCGGGAAAGACGGCACTTTTACCAACCGCACCAACAGGGAATAGGCACTCAGCTGGGGAAGTCGACTAGCCCAGTCTAGCGGGAAGGTAGCGGGGAAGCAGCGGGCGGATAG